AGTGTTTTAATAAACAAACTTTATTTCCAGGGAACAGTAACCATTCCGACACAAAAAAAAACCGCAGCGAAAAACTACGATTTGTCATCGAGCACACAATACTGAAAATGGAAAATTCATTCCCAGTGATGTAAAATGAACTATTTATAAACACCAGCCATCACAGGCAAGAATGAAGAATTAAATACCATGCATAATATGTCAGCCTCCCCACTGTTTCTGAATATAACCCTGCAAATAAAGTCGAGGAATGAAATGAAATGGCGAATTCCGGTATCTATAATTCACGCTTCCACTAATGTATCTATTTTCACACGTGCATTAATACTGAAGATAAACTACGCCTTTTCCTTTATAATCATTCAACTGCAGATCAATAAAGAACCACTTGGTACTTCATAATTGTCAGAAGACATGTGAAGAAATATAACTTACGTCCCTCCTACCTACCCAATCGAATATTGTAGTAAGGAATACCTTTCCCCACCGACACTGTCGTGTTGCATAAACGCTCCAGGCGCAAACACACTGTCCTAGTTACGACAGACAAGATAGTTATGGCATTAAAAAGCGTGATAATTTTGTAAAATACTTTCCTTTAATGATAATGTAAACACTGTTTAATTATAGATACATATTTTCGCATGCGTGCCATAAGTGTAGTAGAATAAATACAAAAAAATAAAACAGGATGTTTGTGTTAGTAAGACATCTACTTGTTTCAAGATCATACCCGACACAATTATCCTGAGCATTATTAATATAGGGCACGAAATATAAATCACTGCCTATCCACTCCATCTTACAATTGTATCATCATATATGAGGAATTTAGGAGCAAACCGTGTTCGCTTAGCAACGCTGTGTCAGTGTCTGCAATTGGACAGCCTTACGTCTTCCCTCGAGATTCCTCAGGTGAATGCTGGGAGATTAACAAAATGTGTTACCTTTTGCTCTTTTTCAAAACTATATTTCGAATTCAACTTCATCTCTGTAAGCCGCTCAGCATAATTCGAAATATCAACCTATTGGAACAAACATCTTAATTCTGTAACTCTTAAGTTATTTAAATACTACACAGACTTCGTTATCAGTTAATACCAATGCAAAATGAACACGCGAACAATTTACTAACTCCACAGAGCAGAGTTAGTCACCTGTTACTCATTTCTTAATTTAAAACTTGTAAATAGGCTAATAAATACGTAACTGATATCGTGGGAAAGAATTAAAAACTGGCATACTTGGAAGAAAGGACCAAACAAACACTCTCAACAGACTTAAAAACAAGATTAACAAGATACTCATGCAAGACTGCTGAAGAAATAAACCATAACAAAAGATTTTCGATTCATCTAGCACGTGGGCTCGTGTTAACAGGGTATTAAACCTTCAGGTTCCATAAAATAAAGTAGGGCATTGGATTCTCAAGAAGAACTAGGCATATATTTCAATTGCATTCTGAGAATCATTAAGTAACAGAAATTAACTCGTACATTAATGGTCATCTATCGGACTTGAAATTAATACAGGTAGGTACCTCCCGGAACTCGTTTGAGTGGACTGGCAAAGTTAAGCGCAAACAGCATACAGGTAATATACAGTCTCACCAACTTGCTAATGTGAAAATCCACATAATTCTCAACATTCCCAATTTTCCCAACCTCATGTCTCTACAGCCTACTTACCACTATATTATAGCAACAGTTTATGTATTCACAATTATGCAAGTTTAATTCAATAGGAGTCTACCTTTCATTAACTGGATTAATGTAACGACCGGAAATTAATAAAAATCAAACAAAATCATTACATATGTATTTATAATCGGGAGTAACATTGAAATGCAACGTTCAGTGAGTTGGTGTGCGAGTAATTTCTAATTAAAGCCACGAATTCCGCATTCCACATCCCATTAAATCAGAAACTGGTTGTTTGATTGAGAGTTCATGGTTTTCTTCAGGCTATCCAGACGATGCCCCAAAAGTGTTTTCTAATTACAACACAAAAGCTGTTCCCCCAAATATATCAACTTTACTAATCGTAAATCAATTTTCTGTAAGCACAGAAGAAAACAAGACAGAGCCATAACTGCACAATAACTTTAAAATAAACATTAGTTCTAAATAAGCCGTGACAAGGAACTTCGTAGGCCTTCATTTTATTTCATCAAATAACCTTTGATCACAAAGGAGTGAACTCTTCGACCTGCTTTACTTGTACATAGCCCAAACTGAAAAAAAAAAAGAATAAGGTCACACAGTCCCACACACACTTCTCTTAATGCAGGCCTACCATTACGTCGCAGAAAAACCACAGCACTTGGAAAATAAATTATAGCGTCCTGTATTGTGAGTTTCGTTGACATTTCGGGGTCACAGCAGAAGGTAGAACAAGCGTACCTGAGCAATGATGCTTGTCTGAGCCCGTCGTTGCATATTTCATAGCGTGTGGGTAAGGTACTGTAAACAAGGCATTTGGTGTAGGCCTAGAGTGGGCTATAGAAATGAAGGTGGATGCGATCCAGTGACCACCATTTAAATATTTACAATACATAAATCCTTTAATGTATCTGCTATTTTATGTGGCCGTAAAATTTGATTTCTCTCACAAGAAAAGAAGACTGGAGATGTTTTAAGGACAAAGTCGTGAGAATATGTGAACCTTCTGTGCAGAAAACTCGACTCAATTAATTATTTTAAATCTCTCAATACCTCAATAAATGACCGTTAGTCTTCATTTCGGAATTGAAACGTCTCATCTCTTTAAATACCGCAAAACGTGAATTATTTTCCATGTATGTCATTGAATGTATACGAGATGTACGAGGGTCGCTCATTAAGTAATGCCCCACATTTTTTTTCTCAGCCAATAATGAAGATAGAAAAGTGTACTTTTACATGCTTGAGATTTGATGTTTCCCGCGTTCGTGTACGGAGTTTCAAATGATTCCAACCGATAGCGGAGCTGTAGTGAACTGTTAAAATGGCGTCTGTGAACGACTCTCGGTACAAGCAACGAGCTGTAATTGAATTCCTTGTTGCTGAAAAAGAAACGGTGGTGAACATTCATAAACGTTGGTGTGCTGTGTATGGAAGCTGTGCAGTCGATAGGAGCACCGTTGGTCGCTGGGCTAAGAGAGTTAAAGCTTCAGGAAGTGAGTGTGATTGCAATTATCCAGGCTCTCGCATATTCGAAGGTGTGCGCAAGATGGGTTCCACGAAGTCTCACAGCAGACCACAGGATTCAAAGGAAAACGATTTCTTCTGAATTGTTGGAGCGTTTTGATGCTGAGGGAGAGGTCTTTCTGTCCCGGATCATTACAGGTGACGAAACCTGGATACACCACTTTGAGCCAGAGACAAAAAGGCAGTCAATGGAGTGGCATCATCCTCAATCACCGAGAAAGAAGAAATTCAAGACAACTCCCTCCGCCGGAAAAGTCATGATGACTGTCTTTTGGGACAGTGATGGGGTCATTCTTGTGGATGTGATGCCAAGAGGTGCGACCATCAATTCAGACGCGTACATCAGGACCCTGAAAACCCTCAAGAAGCGTTTTCGACGAGTTCGGCCTCACAAGCATCCAGCAGAAATTTTGCTCCTGCACGACAATGCACGCCCTCACACAAGTCTGAGAACCCGGGAAGAAATCACCAAATTGGGTTGGACGGTGCTACCCCATCCACCCTACAGTCCAGATCTGGCACCCTCCGACTTCCATCTCTTTGGGCCCCTTAAAGATGCTATCCGCGGAACAAGATTTGAAGATGACGAGAGCGTGATTCAAGCAGTGAGGACATGGCTACGGGGACAGGACAAGAGCTGGTACCGGCAAGGCATGCATGCCCTTGTTCCACGCTGGCGTAAAACCGTACAAGTTGATGGGGACTATGTGGAAAAATAGTATGTGTAAAGGAAACATTGATTTATATTGTCACTAAATTTGAGCCATCTTGAATAAATATGTTCTGAGGAAAAAAATGTGGGGCATTACTTAATGAGCGACCCTCGTATATTTTATGTTACGCAGGTACCAGTTTTTTTTTGTAAGACCAATCGTTTTTAACCAAGATGATTACATCTTCAAATTCTGTACTTCACAAACACAGTACAAGCTGCCACATGTTAAGAAGTTACAGGTTCATCAAAATGAAAGGGAAAACGATGGTCAAGAGATGCAAAATTTCTCAACACTATTCTCGCTCGAGTTAAGTTTCTCAATCACATCAACCCAGAAATGAGGTCATAAGACTGTGAAAAGAATCCGAGAGGAAGGACGCTAATTTTCAGGAATAAATTTAAAGATCATCTCTTGTTACGACACGACAGTACGCCACAGCGTTACATGGTCAAAACTGGAACATCGTGCCCTTGCTGAGGGGGTACATTTTAAAACCTAGATGAAGTAAGGGTACATAATGAAACATAACCTGTGACAAACGGAAATATCCTATTTACACGGTTCATTTGTCAAATTTTAACACGGTACACCTAAAAACAAGCCTACCCCCGCTCAGTGGAAAAACCACCACACGAAACAAATCAAACAGGCTATAGAGACGAAATTCTGGGATTCCACATTTAGAATATTTGGAGGGTTGCGAATAAAGTGTTGCCCAATTCCGCTCGTCAGACCAGAATGAATATTAAGGGTATTTTAAAGAATATCCTTCACATCTTCAGACACTGCTACCGTAAACTCGCCTCATAGAACGTACGGCACAAACAAGAGCTTTAAACCAACAGTTAATACTGGACCATGACATAAATAAAGTTCAATTCCTCTATCAGCAAAATGTCGTAACTTACGTGCGTCTCAGTGGTTTATTAATATCCCACAATTTCTCGTCCCAGCAAATTCCAATATGTAGATGATTCTCCTTAATCAGAAATTACCCTAAAAACGCAACTCCGACGTATCTCACATACTATTACGTATCAGTGTCACTATAATTAATGACCAACAAATTGCGTCACATTCTTACACGTACATAAAATCTCAATATATAAGTCTATAATAACAGGTTTTCTGTCTCATACACAGCGAAGAATCATCTAATAATCTAATCGGCGAATAATTTCCAATCCTTTATTTTGTCAACCAATGAGAATACTAAGCTTACGTGTAATCCGATATCAAGGATTATAGGACTACTTTGCGTGCGCACTATATATAATTCGAAGCCCCGTGATGCCATAACACATTCATTCCACACTTGCTTGAATAAAAATCATCTTTAGCGTATCACTCCAGCTTGAATATAAAAAGGTAAGAACTTCACTTACAAACATCATTCTCAAATTCCAATACAGTTCAAATAACAGCAGCAATGGCAGATGAGTGAGAGAGGCAAATTGGATACAAATCGAAAACACCTATCATTATAGGAATAGTCTTCACACTTCTTATTTCTGTTATAATAGGCTGGCTGGCTGCCTGTTCTTTCCGGTCAAATACAATCCCTCTACCTCTTCGTGGGTCTACCTACGTCTCTTTTTCCTTGTGGCGACTTGTCCCTTGCAATTTTGCAGATTCTTTGTGGATCCATTCTGCTGAAATGGTCATTCCAGTGTCTTCTCGTATCAAACACCCACGCAGATACCGACTGAATGTCACACTCAGCTTGAATGTCCTCGCTTCTGACTCTGTCTCTCAAAGTTTTTATTTCGGTGATTTCTAATATCTGTCTAGTTTTTGCTGTATCACATCTAGTTTCAGCAGCATATGTCACAATTGGTCGTACGACTGCTTTGTAAATTCGGTATTTAGCACTTGCATCGAAGAACCTATCGTGTCATATCCCGTCATTCAATCAACCTGGTATTCTGGATGCTTCACAGCTAGAGTTTGAACGTCATTTCTTGCTGTTCCTTGACTAATTATGTTCACTCCCAGATAATTAAAATTAAATACTTGTTCAATTACTTTTCTTTCGACTTCAAGTTTACACTTCGTCTTTTAAGTTGATGTAGTCATGTTATACTGCTTACTTTTTTAATTAAAAGTGTGCAAGAGTCTTTGTAAATCATCTTCTGATTCTTCTATTAACACCTCGACATCTGCGTAGCATATTATGCATTTTATATATTCACACTGCGATGCTTAATAGTCTGAAGCCAGAAACTCAACTAAATAAAATTTAAAAATTAAGTTCCTGCCTAAATTAAAACACAAAGCGTCTCCATTACAAATATCAACTGGTTAATGATATTTATTCTGAAAATCAGCCAAAGCGCACAAATACGCTGTGGGCAAAATGAGGAGTTATGAATGTTAACGCAATATAGTAATACATAGCCACCAATGAGCTTTAAAGGTTAAATATAAATATAAATATATATATATATATTGTATGAGAATACACATTAATTAAACAAATCACGCGCAATACAAATTTAGTATCAGTACGTTACATTAGTACCTGCCGAATGCTTCTTCAGGGCGTGAATTAAATATAAGGTGTACATTTAATTCGTTCCAGAAAACAGTTTCTGTTAAATATTTCTATACATTATAATGACGAACAACAAACCATCAACAGCAATTATGTTCGTGTAAATTAAGATAAAACTTAATTTACACGGAAGGACTTTATTTTTCAGATTTGGGGTTACGATGTTTCAGTCGGCACGTCTGCTAAATCTCGTTCTACTGTGCTTGCTTGAATCCGTCACAGCACGCAGCAAGCCAAGCATCGTTGGCAGCTTCGGCAACGTTTTAACTGATCTAATGAAACAACAAGAAAGCGAACCTAAAGAGGAACGCCATCTGATGCATGAATACGACTTCATCATAGTTGGTGCAGGATCTGCGGGGTGTATTCTGGCCAACCGTCTCACCGAGGTCCCGGAATGGAAGGTCCTTCTGATAGAAGCTGGTGGGCAAGAAACCTTCTTAATGGACATACCTATTCTAGCAAGCTTCACGCAATTCACATCAGCTAATTGGAACTACAAAACAGTGCCTTCAGGCACATCATGTCTCGGGTTTCGAAATGCACAGTGCAAGTACCCTCGTGGTAAAGTTATGGGTGGAAGCAGTACTCTGAATTACATGGTCTATACTCGTGGACACCCAAAGGATTACGACAAATGGGCTGCAGATGGAAACGAGGGCTGGTCTTATGAAGACGTTTTTCCTTATTTTATGAAGTCCGAAGACATGACGATACCTGAATTGGCAAAAGACACAAAACACCACTCAACAGGTGGCTACTTAACAATCAGCTATACTCCATACCGTACACCACTAGCCGAAGCTTTTATACAATCAGGTCTTGAGACGGGGCAGAATGTTGTTGATTACAACACAGACACACTAATAGGATTCAGTTTCATACAGAGTACAATGCAAAACGGAACTCGATGCAGTTCTTCAAAAGCTTTCCTACATCCAATACGAAACAGGAAAAACTTACATGTCACAAAAATGAGTACAGTCACGAAAATACTAATACACCCAGAGACGAAACAAGCAGAAGGTGTTCAGTTCGTTCGGGGGGGCAAACGGTACATAATACGAGCTAGTAAGGAAATAATTTTATCGTCAGGAGCAATAAATTCACCACAACTCCTCATGCTATCTGGCATAGGACCTCGTCGACATTTGGAAAGCTTAGGTATTAAAGTAATTCAGAATCTAGATGTAGGGTACAACCTAATGGACCATATGGCCCTAGGCGGCCTAACTTTCATCGTCAATCAGAGCATCTCTTTGAGAACAGACAATATCTTACGGAATCCAGATAACATTGCAAATTATTTTGCGTATCACAAAGGCCCTATATCAGTTGCAGGAGGATGCGAGGCTCTTGCCTTCTACGATCTAAAGGATCCTAAGAATCCACAAGGATACCCCGATATCGAACTTATATTTCTAGGTGGTTCATTCGTGTCCGAACGAACACTACGGGAAAACGTTGGTATTCGTCCCGAACTTTACAATTCAGTGTACAAGCCAATAGAACAGTATGACACATGGACGGTGGTGCCGATGTTAATGCGACCGAAAAGTAGAGGAAGGATAATGCTGAGAGACAGAAATCCATTTCATAAGCCTTTAATCGACCCCAATTACTTTCAATATGACGAAGACTTGGACACTTTGGTTGGGGGTGTCAAGAAGGCCATTGAGCTCAGCAAGACGAAAGGATTCCAGGAATTTGGAACCAAACTGCACGACACCCCTATCCCTGGATGTAAGAAACACGTTTTTGGGTCGGATGATTACTGGAGATGCGCAATAAGACATCTCACTTTCACAATATACCACGTGTCTGGAACCTGTAAAATGGGTCCAAAGTGGGACTCTGGTGCCGTAGTGGACCCCAGGCTAAGAGTATACGGAATCAAGGGTCTCAGAGTGGTAGATGCATCAATTATACCTGAAATACCAGTAGGTCATACAAACGGGCCGACGTATATGATAGCTGAGAAGGGAGCTGATCTCATAAAACAAGACTGGGGCGTAACTACTAATAATATCACATAGCGTCGGCTGGCTACACGTTGTGTAAATTCAATGTAATCAATACCCTGATGTCTAAGAATAAGATATTGAATAAAAAATTTCAACATTGTGACAAAATGTCTGGCAATTAACCCTGACAGACGTTTCAGAGGAGGTCGCTGCCTCCACGAACACCTTGATGATGGAGGCAATAAACTCCTCTGAAACGTCGGTCAATATGTATTAGACTACATGATGCTAATCCCAGAAGACAATCATATTCATACCTAGTCTATACCACATTTCACCAAAATCCATTTAGTAGTTTCTGAAATTAAACATACTGACGGACAATGGGCCTGTAAATATGGTTTCATTTTATGCACTTTGTGAAAGCAAACATTTCAAGAACCACATATTTGCGTTTCCCATCTTCAAGGCTGGGGGTGATCAAATAAAATAAGAAGGGCGGAACGTGTAGCATGGATTGGGAGAGGAAATATGAGGACAAAACTTTAGCCAAGAAACCTAAGGAAAGAGACCACAAGCGTGGAAGGATGATTTTAAGATGAAGGGTAGGACGGAGGATTCAGGTCTATTACAGGTTATGAACATGCCAACCTACAAGTACATGTACCCATCCTTTTGAAATAAAAATTCCCTCCCCGTATGCCCCCGCTCTTTCTCTCTCTCTTTCTCTCTCTTATCCGAACAAACAGTTGGGAACGGTGGAGTTCAGTGAAAGACTGGAATATAGTTTCATACTTTTATGCTATAAACAACGATTCTTGCATGAACTGGTGGCATTTTTAATTGCCGTACATTATAAAATTATTACAATTAATTTCTGAAATTAATAAAACCAAACCGTGGTAACATCCTCCTCTTCAACTAAATATTTCTCCCTTCTACTGTAACAAATCGAACGCTGCTAGGGAAGACATGTGGATGGTTGCTTCAAAGAAGACCAGATCTATGCCAAAATTGGACTCAATTTGTTAAGCATATAGAAATTTGCCTTATTTTGAAGTATCAGACGTAGAAATAAACAGCGGGCTAATCTACAAGAACAAAAAATCTGCAATAACATAAAACGTGTAGGCTCATCTCGATCTCACCGTCTACTTTTATAAAAAGGCACACTAAACCACACGTAATTTGTATCTTTCATAATCTTATAAAGTGGAATCTGCGAAACCATGTTTAACTGACTTTATTTCCTGTATCTAGGTTATAATAGATTGGTTAGACCACTGTTGTTCCAAGAACTTCGCGTGGTTACAAAGGAAGACAGTACTCCAAGACGCATTTCCATAATTGTGAAGCATCTCATAATGTTTGTTAGCAACCGGTATGCATAACTGTGGCATCAACACTCATGTGTGTGTCCTCTAGCGATCCCATTATCCTACCTGCAGGTTCTTACTGCAGGCGACAATACTTAAAACAATGGACACACACTTCACCGCCATAAATTCACATTTGCGACAACCAAACACTACACAGAAAGACGGGAGCACAACAGTGCGGATATAAGCACACAAAAGACAAGCGTACACATCGCTTGTTGAGTTCACTGGTTACTTAATTCACGCCTGTCCTTTGTGTTTTTGCGTAACATCAACTACATCACTGTTCTCTCAGTTCAATGGTCTAAATAAATAGATTGTCGACAGCTTACCTAAAAGGACCAAATTCAAGATCCGGCACTAAAATTTCACTTAGGCTTATTGCATTATTTATGTACAGTTCTACAGTCGATGACACGATTCTTCAAGTTTAACAACACAAGTATCCACATCTTCGTACATATGATTTGCAAAACTGGTTTCATTTCGAGGAGTAGACGTAGACGGGAGAATAACATTCAAATGGATCCTAAATGAATACGGTGTTAGGTATGACTGCATCTAAAGATAATTTCAAAGACTCAGAAAAGCGCTATACATATGCGAAATATATCTACTAGAAAAATTTGTGATTCCTCGTCAAAAAATGACGTCATCAACAATGTCAACTTATATTTGTTTATACTCGGCATTGTTGTGGAACACAACAATGCCGACACAACAATGCCGAGTATACTATAAAAATTTGTGAATCCTCATTGTCGTCAAAAAATGACGTCATCAACAATGTCAACTTATATTTGTTTCACAACAAAAACTATCAAGCCAGTCGCATGATCTCAGCTCCAGAAGCAGCACATCGTATTCTTAAAAATTGACTGACAGTTGGCCTAAAACACCAGGAAAGTGAAAGAATACGTTATCAAGTATTTGAAGTACAAACTCCAATAAGGTAAGCTGATACTCATTCGATATATTACGATTAAGAAAGTATTATGAAAACTGTCTTTATGATCGATTTTAAGACGAAGATTTGCAAGGGTGGGGCTGGACGTAAAAAGTTGTCTGAACAAGAACAGCTGGCCTCTGAACAGCGACGTAAAGAACTACAACATCAGACCTATTTAACAAATAATGAAAAGCCAGTCGCATGATCTCAGCTCCAGAAGCAGCACGTCGCATTCTTAAAAATTGACTGACAGTTGGCCTAAAACACCAGAAAAGTGAAAGAAGACGTTATCAAGTATTTGAAGTACCAACTCCAATAAGGTAAGCTGATACTCATTCGATATATTACGATTAAGAAAGTATTATGAAAACTGACTTTATGATCGATTTTAAGACGAAGATTTGCAAGGGTGGGGCTGGACGTAAAAAGTTGTCTGAACAAGAACAGTTGGCCTCTGAACAGCGACGTAAAGAACTACAACATCAGACCTATTTAACAAATAATGAAAAGCCACATAAAATTCGCCAACGATATTAATAACAGACGTTAACACACTAATAAAATTAGGATAATAAAAAAGCCGATTAAGTAGGTTATAATTATGAATTTCTGAGTAAGAATACTTCAAAAGATATAGCAAAGAAAATGCTTTGGTGTGTTTAGTTTAACTGTCTTCTACGAAGCAAATAAAATCATTTACCGTACATGGTAACGAATATATCAGAGCAGTGCATGCAACTGAAAACTTTGTGAAATAGTGTGGAGGAATCTATATCGCTCGCTCGCCCTTTTCACCTAGTGTTTTGTGTGTGCGTGCGTGTATATTTATATACGGTTAGGGAGAGTTCTAAATATTGATCCAGATATCTGCTGAAGACAGACGGACTAACACTACAGTTATACAAACTCGCTTTCGTAGTTCATGACATCGAACAGCGGTAACAGAAACAGGGGAGGAGACGTGAACTCCACTAAACAGCTCAAAAATAAAAGCATGAAATGCGGACATTTCATTTCCACTGCATCTGAGCAGACACAAAACAGCCTAAATCACAAAATAAACGCGTACTTCACCAATAAACAGGTTTTTCTTCTGATCACTCGACGACTGTCTTGGCTACAGGTCCTACTACTCACGTTACCGACCCACGGCCGAGAGTCAGTCGTTTTGGATCATACACGACAACCTATGCAAGGATGAGGAACAAGCAAGAACCGAAACTATTAAATTATATATAATTCTGTACCTTGTGTTCTCACATCACGATGTATTCAGAAACGCCGCTTTCCCACGTTCTCTCTCACAAGAGAACCAACCGGACACCCAAACACCCTTCCGAGGGCACCAAGGTGGACGGAGGCAACCGCTGAAGTACTATCATCTGATTCATGTTGCGTTACGAACAAGACCTCGCTTTAAAATTCTAATCCTTTTCATCTAGATTTAACTATAGAAAAAATTATCTCTTCATCGTCCTCAGCATAGCATCACCACAATGGAAGAAATCCAGAACGTCTAATGTAATAGCAAAAGTAGTTCGCCGTGTCAGTGCGGCATCTTCTCCACCATGACTGTCATGCGGAAAGTCTAAACAGCAGTCTACAGGCTAAAATAGGAATTCAGTATACTCATTCATACGAGATTTGTGGTTCTCACACTGGTGAAAATGTCAATGTTGATCTTCCAGGAAGAAAACGCCGAGTGGACTTTTGGGCAGATACCAACGTTGAGCATTGAATATGGAGGCAGTATATTCCTCCGAAACGGTATCCACCTATAGATCCACACGGCGTTACAACACAGACATGCAATATTTTCAATTATTACGCAGGTTAGCTCAATAGGCTACTTTTATTCCGAAGACACGTGGTCTATAAAGACTACTACCACGGGATTTACTTGGAAGGAGTAAGGAAAACCACAAAAAATGTCAGGATAGCCAGTCTCCTGGCATAAACGAGTCAAGCAACACTCAACCCACACTACAAAATATAAATAATAAACATCAGATATAAAATACCCGCAAAACAACGTGCAATTCACAACTTAGTCAAAACAGTAACCATTATTATTTTTCACTGATTAGTTCTTGGTTTATTTAATAAAGCTTTCTCAATTGGATAGGCTGTGTAGCATGTGAAGGTAGGATGACTGTGTGAACGATGAATTAGAAGAATCCGAAAGGAAATGATTGCAGCCCATTTTAAGGCACTAATCCAATAATCTCAAGGAGGGACTGAGGTAAACCGTGACTGTAATATTATGTCTGAAAAATCAATTTCAACTGCATTTCTTACTTGTAGAACAGTGGCAAACTCAGAAAGACGAAAACTGCTTATTGAGAAACTTCACTAGTTGCACACTTCGCCAGATTTTATTTCATTAGTGATCAAATAACGGACTAAACGACGAGACGTAGAAACACTTGTGGAACAGATAAGAAATGTGCGCAACATTTCAGTCAGAAAACCCTACGGAAGACGCCATATGCGATATTAAGACAGATCTAAAAAAAAAGTGTGTGAACTACAATCAATTGGTTCACGATAGGTTTTTCTTAACGGGTCTTTGCAAACATCGTAAAGAATCATCGGGTTCCGTAAAAGGTGGGAGATTTCTTGACCGGCTTCTCAAGAAAGTCTCTCCATGAAATTCGTTAGTTACAATGAACATACGTAATTCTTAAGGAATTTGTAACCAGCACGCAGCTCGATTGGCAATTATTTTCAGTCGCATACTCCAGAAAACTGGATCTCACAATCAGAATGGTTAAAAGACTCTCCTATGATCATATACTGTGCTCATCAGGGATGGGGAGGGCTTCTTGTGGCAAAAGACGCGTACTTTCATTGCATTACAAATACCGAAGATTTTAGATATGAAAGACCATAGTTCTACATACCACGGGCGAAAAACACAATATTTCGCTTTTGGTCTGGTCTTAACACCATGCCAAAGTAATTCATGGACGCATAGCCCAGACAAAAAAACTGCAATACTGATATGACGGTATTAGTTCGTTTGTCTTCTCTCAGTAAAAAAGTCAATAACTTTCAGGGATGGAAACTCAACTGTGACTTTATACAGCAGGCAATTCATACAACGGAATGTAACATGAAGGTATAGAACATGAACTGGTTAATGAAGACTTTCTATCCATGTGATGATGTAAGACGAGAATTCCTAAAATCGCAATGGTACATTAGGACAAAGAGCCTTCTCAAAACCAAAACGTCTGAACTGCAAGTGTGTATACAAAATATATAAAAACGTAAGCACAAGAGGCTTATGCCTAACCAGGCATCCATCCTGCTTTATCTAATTCCAACACTTCCTTTTATCCACAACACGTATCCTCCGCTACAACAATTCTGTCACTGCACCAAGCCCTCATATTCATTGACTTCCACAACACGATGTGGTCTTACATCAAACATCAAAGGCATATACAAAAAAGCTGCACTTCATAAGGAATGCGTCAAATCAAACCAGTTTTTGTAAAACAAAAGTGGAAAGATGTACTCCAACTGGGGTACATATATTTTCCAAATGTCTTCTTTGTTATTTTAAATATCTCACTGGCCTCCATATATATCCACTGTTGACAAAAATCTTTAACTGAAACAATAACTGTTTTCTTTTCCATATCACCAAATATTTTATTGCACTCAACTAAATATCTTAATATTGCCAGGTATGTTTCTCTGAAACAGGCCAGCTTCACTTCATATCCTACCAAAATTTGTGGCATATTTAAATCTTGAATTAGAATTATCATCAGGGATTAGGCACTAATGCCTGTTCTGGCTTCAAATTGATCTTCCCATCTTCTTCTTGGCTGACCTCGATCTCTTTTCCCGCTAGGTTTGTAGCTGAGCGCAGCTTTAGGAAGTCTGTCTTCAGACATTCGTTCCACATGTTCTTTCCATTTTCTTCTATATTCTCCATTTTGTTGATTACATTAGGAGTAGGTTGTAATTACAATTATATATGTATTAAATCACATTAACTTAATTACTGGTTAACTGTGTATTTTATTAAAGAACAGAAAGAAAAATAAATTAAGAATAATATTCCCAAGAGGTTATATTGTTACAAAATTTACCACATTATACAGCATCAAAATAATTTCTCTTTGCACTTCATTAAATATTTGCCATATCCAAAAATATTTCACCAGCATAAACCAAAATTAAATTCAAATGATAAATAATTCTGAAGATCCTAGCCATGCATCAGTACATGCAGTCATCTGTCAGTTTTTTCACTGCACAGGCCCAGGTCTGCTCTCAGGGCACTCCAGATGAGATGATTGGCACTGGGTCAGGTTTCTTTCCGAGTGCTTTCATTTTCCCCTGGCAATATCATTCCATACTCACTCATGTACCATCTGGGCAATTGAATATGAACCTGTTATCAGCCTCAGTTCTACAGAGACAGTCTCACCCCATCAAAACAATAACAATAGTGTAGAACCAAACCAAATTTGAACAAAACCCACCCAGACGTTTCACAGACAAAACATGTAAAAAAACAGATATAGCAACCGATTCTATATTGTGCATTCATATTATGCACTTAAAGAAATGCATAATTCAGTACATGAATTTTCTAAACAATTGGTAGTAGTCAGTCTAAAATAACATTTACAGCTAAGAACACTCGTCAAGGATTTCTTGGTACATTAAAAGTTATTCCGGCAAAGAACAATGCAGCAGGCATCTGTAAAAGGGTCACACATAGTAATGAATGTCAGCACTCAGACATAAATGACAAACAATAACATTTACCTGAGTTAAACATAAACAGTTCATAAAAACAGAACATGTGTGTTCTTTTCAAAAAAATAGGGAGAGTAACATGAGAAATCTGGTTATGCCATACTCTGAAGCCAAGGAAATATAAGCACAGGTGGGGCTTCATGTACTCAGATAAGAGGCTGTTTGCTTTCTTCAAGGGAAAATGTATCCAATCACAGCCAGTGAAAGCAAGAAAATGCAATGTTTTTTCATTGAAAATATTAATAATAATAAAAAATAATAATCTGTGGCATAACAGCCCTCTGAGAGCCAAAGCCGATTAGCTGGCTGCTGGCATCACGTTCACATGCCTAAGCAGAGGTGAATGATCATCCAATCAGATTTAGGGTGACGTGTGGTCAGCACGACGAACCCCCAGCCATTAACCGGATTATGCTACCCATTGTAGCTCCCCAATTTCCTCACGATGCTGGGTTGGCACCGGTCGAAAATCTCATGAGAAATTTCTTTCCCAGAGACTCGAACCAGCGCGCATTCTGTATCACTGGTCCAAAGCATGATGCCTCAGACCACACAGCTACAGCGTGGGACTTGAAAATATTAGAACAAATAAAATTACATTTAATACCAATTATTCAAATATTTCTTGTGAAAACAACTAACTACATGCAGCAGAGCCCTTCTTCAGAAGGTAATAGACATTCCACTAGTCAAGAAATTCCCATGTTCACAAGAGCTCACTGCTGGATCCTATTTGGAACTACATGAATCCAGTCCATATCCAAATAAATCACTTCTTTAGAATAAATTTTAGTACTCTCCTAACAGGTAGGCAGTTCTCTTACCATTTGATATCCAAAGCAGGAAAGTTGAAATGTTATCTAATGAAACTGCATAACCATATTCGAAATATATCTCAAGAAAAACTCTTCAAAGCGATTAATTTCATCTCATTTAAATCTAAGAACAGATTTGTAACATAAATTATGTACCTTAGTAACTAGCTGTGGTGGCAAAAATCTATGAGCTTAGACATACAATTTTCTTTGTAATCCTTCATACAATTTCTTTGCCAAAATTTCTATCACCAAATTACAAATACTGTAATCTGTGATGCATTATTATACTAGGTTTAATGTGATGTAACTTCAAACTGAGATAGCAAAATAAGGACCATGTGGGTTTGTCTCCTTGCTGTGCAGCATCTATCTGTTAACAACTTTATCTCACTAAATGCATACAAAAACTATCAAGCATAAAATAACAATAATTACATGTGAATTCATGTAACAAACAATATTTGTAACTTCACTTTCAGCTTATTACGTCGAAAAGAAATTAACGATTTATATGCTGCCTTTGTAAACATTGTGATTGAAAAACAACGTGAAGTTACGCCTACCTGATACTATGAGCGCCTCGTTCGGTCCAACGGTGTATATATTTCCCATTGCTGATGTAATCTAAGCCACAGTATTCACACACAATAACTAAAAGCCCACTAATCACCACAACGTTTAAATAATATCAACACATCATCCTAAAATTAGCCAAACTAATAGCCCTGACAAGTTCCTACTAGTTCCTGTCGTTGTGATGCTGTCCCATCATGCTTTGCCTAGGCACAATCGATAGACTGCCGCTTCTTTGCAAAACTAAAAGCATGATTTGTTTCTATAGCAATATTGAGAGTGTACAACTTTCAAGTCCTCCACTGTATAAATATGGTTGTAAATGTGATAGTAAATATTCTAAATTGTGTTATTTATAGCAAATGTAATCGTGACACATATAAACATCACTTTTAACAGGAGGACCTGGGTAATTCTATCGTGTCTAATGGAAAACGTCCCATGCATTTCCATTGGCCAACGATTTAAAAGCACTCACATGTAGCAACCAATAATGTTAAAGATGTATGTAGTATGGAATCTTGGGAAATTAATGGTGGACCAAGGTTTCTGAAAGAATAGTAATTAAAAGGAATCAATTTTACTTGACGTCTTCGAATCTTATAGAGACGTATGCGGCATGTGATAAAGTAGCATATTGAACTAAATATATGTTTCAAGTTTATTGTAGTATTGTGTGTATTTTATTACTGGAATTTTGTCTTAAGTGCTTAAAATGCTGGTTTAAAATATCGTCATTTTTGCTATTTGCAGGTATATACAGTTCCTTTAAATATGTCTGAAGCAAGTGATCTCGACCGTCAAATTGAGCAACTAAAGAAATGTGAAATTATTAATGAATCGGAAGTCAAAGCGTTATGTGCCAAAGCTCGAGAGATATTAGTAGAAGAGAGCAACGTTCAAAGGGTTGACTCTCCAGTTACAGTAAGTATGACACTGAATAAACGGTTAGTGCAGTCGCCTCAGCTGCAGTGGAATTCACATCTGTAAAAAGAACAATAAAATACTACACCATCCAAAATATGAAATATATGAAGAACTACTTGATCAATGACTTAATGGGAGCAAAGTTAATTCAGTTGCATTGGTTACACAGCTGTGTATGTAAGAGGAATCAACTGAATTAAATTGAATTTTAATTATTACTTCATTTTTTAAAAGATGTAATTTTTTTCGTATAATAGGTGTGTGGAGATATACATGGACAGTTTTATGATTTGAAGGAATTGTTCAAAGTGGGAGGTGACGTTCCTGAAACAAATTACTTATTTATGGGAGACTTTGTAGACCGGGGATTCTACAGTGTTGAAACGTTTCTTCTCCTACTAGCATTGAAGGTAATTTTGAACAGTTATCAAATACCAGAAGAACTCAGGATTCTGCAAACTATGTTTGAGATACTGGTTCAGATACCATTTTATTTTTATCATTTGTAAATAAATACAGCTTTATTTTTAAAAATGTGAACTATCTTATTCATGTGTTTTTAAGTAGCTTTCATTATTTATGGAATAGAAACTCATAAAAGTGGAAATATTCAAAGGCAAACTGTATTTGTTTGGTGAAAAATATCAGAAATATATTCTGTCCTAGCCTATTTGATGGCTTAACTTAAATTATACAGTTTTTTAGTTAATTTAGAGTATTAACATTTCACAGAAATTGCAATAGTGACATATTGTATCAAAGTGAACATTCTTCAAAACTGACTTGCCAGAGCACTTAGGTCAGTATATTGAGTGACATGTTTAAAATATGAAAGATTATGTTTTGGAATTCTTACAGGTTGCATAACCATGGCAGTGTGTCTTAACACTAAAATTTGTGTAATTATAGGTGAGGTATCCAGATCGTATTACACTCATACGTGGTAATCATGAATCCCGACAAATCACACAAGTATATGGATTTTATGATGAATGCCTCAGGAAGTATGGAAGTATCACTGTGTGGCGGTACTGTACTGAAATATTTGATTATCTTAGTTTGTCCGCCATAATCGATGGAAAGGTAAGAAAAATATTTACAGTGTGTCAGACCTATTTAGTAATTTGTAGTACACACTGCAGGCATGTCATTCCTATTGAGAGATATTGGTTGGATTTCAGTCATATTTCTATGCTGAGAAACCTGAATGAATAGTTGACATGTTTTAATAAAATGTAAATAAATTGACAAATGCAAGTTATTTATGGTGATATACTTCTTGATATAAGTACAGTTAGAAATTGGGCCAAAACATGCAAAAAAGAAGGATGTGGAAAAGCAGTTTTGAATGATCAACCACAAAGTGGAAGGCCTTTAACAGCAACTAACAAATCACATCAGGATCATGTTGATGAACTGATTCATGAAAACCGTCACATTGAACAAAAGGAAATTGTGGAAGCATTAGGCATTTATAAACAGTGAGAAGGGCACATTATCAGTATTCTTGCTTACCAAAAAGTGTGCCAGGTGGGTACCTCGCTTGCTGACTGACGAGATGAAAGCTAAGAGAGTAGACATTTCTCAAAAACTTCTGCAGTATTTTGAAAATGAAGGTAATGGATTCTTGTATTGGATTATCACTGGAAATGAAACATGAGTGAACCGTTACCATCCTGAGAACAAACAGCAGTCAGTGGAATATTGGCACAAGGAGTCACCACAACTGAAAATATTTAAAACTCAAGCCTCATCTGTTAAGGTGATGTTCGCTGCATTTTGGGATGTTAATGGCATAGTTCTTTCTGACTTTTGGAACAAGGATCAACCATTAATTCTAATCCCTATCTATTGGGCCCAACTGAATAGGTACCTGAAGACGGAGATAGAGCCCCATCTCCGAAACGTCGTTCTTCTATTTTATTTCTTAGACGATGGAAAATATCCAAGGAAATTTTTATTCAAATGACTCACCATCGTCACAAACTTTTAGATTTGATATAAGTTCTATTTAAATAATTCTTTTCAGATTTTTTGTGTCCATGGTGGTCTGTCTCCTTCAATACAAACACTTGACCAAATTCGTACGATAGATAGAAAACAGGAAGTTCCTCATGATGGTCCAATGTGTGACTTACTATGGTCAGATCCTGAAGGTAATAATCTCAACTTAATTTCTTAATTTTAATAATCTGTTAATGCCCATGTGTGTTCATATATGTAGTTATCTCATTCTTCACTTCTACATTACAGAGTGAATTTGTTTATATTACTGTAATGTTCAGGATGTTTTTGTTTTGTACAGATACTCAAGGTTGGGGTGTGAGTCCTCGAGGTGCTGGATATTTGTTTGGCTCTGATGTTGTTGCACAGTTCAATGCAGCTAATGACATTGACATGATTTGCAGAGCTCATCAACTTGTAATGGAAGGTTACAAATGGCATTTTAATGAAACTGTATTAACAGTTTGGTCAGCACCAAACTATTGCTACAGGTATTTATGTACACTTGAAACATTTGACATTCAAAGATCAGAGGCTTGTTTAATATAATAAAACATGAAACTCTGTTTAAATGTTGACACAGTGAGTTTTATAGTTGATTTTGTTATCTCACATTCAAGGTTGCTTTGCAGAAAATATAATTTAATTTTGTTTACTGTAGTGTTATGAACTGAGGTATCTCAGTGAATAAATGCAATCTCGTGTCAACTTCTTTCCTAGAAAATTTCTGATTATATATAAGATGTAAAATACATGGTTCCCTTTAAATGTCTTCTTCACTTCATACATTAAGTTTTAGTAATCTGGGTATAAAATATATATTGTCATAATTTTGATTTTTCTCAAAATGACTTATTACTGAGAAATTACATTTGTTCCTAGATGTGGTAATGTAGCAGCTATTTTGGAATTAAACGAACATCTACAAAGAGATTTCACCATCTTTGAAGCAGCACCTCAAGAGAGCAGGGGGATTCCATCAAAGAAGCCCCAGGCAGATTATTTTCTTTGAGGATCCCAAGGGAATGCCAGGATCACTGTACGAAGAAATTGTAAATTTTACATAAAATGGTTGACCACCACTGGTTTTTATTATTTCAGTCAGGGTCAGTGCAGTTGTGGTGAAATTAAGAAAGATTTTTATAGTTGTGTGTACATTTAATGACAACTTTAACAGGTGAGAAGTACTGTTCTCATCCTGTCCTCATTATGTTCATCAGGTCATTCAGCATCTTCATATTTCATTTGTGTGTGAGAATTAGTGTGTTGCAAATGAAAAGACTGGAACTTGCAATGCCATATAGTAAAATTGCAAGTATTTGTGAGTGAATGAGTATGTGTTGAATAGGGAAAAAATGAAGTTGGCATAAAATAAAAGAAGAGGTGTTTCATTTTCATAAACTTTTATGACACTGGTGTTGTTCATGTTGTCTTCTTACAGTGTTTTGTGCTTTAAAGGATTAAGAATTGTATTCACTTTTACATTATCTTCAAAGGCAGTTTAAAAGACCTTAATAAACTTATTGTTTTCTTTACATTCATGAAACTCAAGTGTCAGTGTGTGTGTATGTTGTTATGGCTTTCAGTTTGATCCAAGTGCTGATTTAAATATTGTATTAGGAATAATTTTGTGTTGGCAATTATAATTCTCCTCTTCCCCACACAATGTTCTTTTACTGTAGTTTAACACATGCCAGTGAATGGTATTTTTCCAATATAACAACAGTGCATACTTTTTATGACAGGCCAGAAACAGGATTCTATAGGAACTCAAAATGCACATCTTATTTAATATGGCTAGCAATTTATTTTAACATTATAGCATGATTATAGAAAAACCTAGGTGTAATGACTGTGAATGAGAATGTTTCAGTCATAATATATATGTAATATGAGAACAATCATTTTTCACACTTTCTCTGTAAGAGAGCAATTTAATCCACTTTACATCTTTAAACTTTGTTTCTCAAAGAGCAGATTCAATACTAATCTTCCATCTGTACCTAGGTCTTCTACACTGCCTCATCCCTGAAATTCTAGCTTAAAAAATTACTAATGCCTACCTAACTTTAAATATCCTATTTTATATTAATCTTAACAGTTCCGATTAATGTACAAGCAGCTTAGGAATAATATCTCCACATTTAGTATCAACTTTGATATGAGCATATTTATCACCTCTTGTTGGTCCAATGTTCACAATTGCTATTTGTTTCTTATTCTCAGATACCTGGAGTAATATTCTATAACTAGAAAATACAGTTAATGAAGTACCAAGCACCAGCAATGAATCACAATTTTCTATTTCATGTTTCACTGCTTCAACTCTTTCCTGAGGAACATTATCACCAAAGAAAACAATATCAGGTTTCAGAACTCCCCCACATTGGCTGCAGCTGGGCACCAGAAATCGTTGTTCTTCATCCTTTAAAAAACATTAAGCCATTAATGTAACACACTTCCTTGATTCAGAGACTTTCAAACAAATTTCTGATAATACAGTATTAAATAGCCAGGGTATGTGCCATATACTTTGAATAATATGGCATATGCATAGCAAATGTTCAGATACCAGGAGCAATCACAAATATGTGCCAATAAGGGCTAAAACAAAACTTAACAGTTCAAAGGCAAATGTCTCCTACGCTATTTATCTCAAGCTCAACTTCCACATATTTTACTGACAATAATGTCAAGTACACAAAATTATGTATCATCAAATAAGAGATCAGAATGGTGACAATGCAGTTTCCTGAAATTGAAAGGCTTCCACTATTCTGAATCCATACTGCATAATCATGAAGGGCTGATGGGCTATATATGGCACAAAGATTCCTAGTTCATCATATACTACTTATTGTTAAAACAGCAAAGTATAACAACTGAAGAAATCAAATTATTAACTACCTGAGATATATCAACATCTCCATCTGGTCTAATCATCATACTTGTCCCTTTCATATGACAATTCATTTCTTCAAGAATAGTCTGGAAATGGTGTCTATCCATTGTGTTGTTACAATCTGAACACATTACTTTAAATGCTGAACCATGAAGTTCTATAACATGTCTACTTCCTGCTTTAGTGTGCAGCTTATCAACATTCTGAGTAACAACACAACATACCTTTCCATGTTTTATCTCCAAATCTTTTATCATAAAATGAACAGAATTAGGAAGGAATGAAGAAAATCTGGGCCATCCAACAAAATTGCGTGCCCAGTAACGTTTTCGAACAAATTCTTTTTTTATAAAATCTTGGTACTGAATTGGTCTTCGACTGCTACGGGCATAGAGACCAACACCTTCTGAACGATAATCCGGTATCCCACTTTCTGTAGATATTCCAGCACCAGTAAGAACTAATAGTTTGTTTGCAGAGTTAATAAATGTACTTATTTTATCAATGTCATCATTTTGAGCTGGACTATGCTTTGGCACAAATGATAATGGACTATTGTAATATTTGTTTGCTGCTGAGACTGCTCTATACTGTATCAGCCCACACATTTTACTATGCTGCAAAAAAACGAAGGAACATACAAAAGCCTGTTAGTAACCTGTAATATTCTATACCAACAACCAACTCTCAAGCTTATTTCTAACAGCATAATATTATCACTACTATGGTTTTTGGAGTCTCCTGAAAATGAGTTTTGCATCCGGAATCTATGAATGATGTGTAATTAGGAGAAACTCCACAAGAACTTTGCATCGGTGAGAATTTTTAACCGACTATCATTACTCCATAGGTTATTTAATGGCATTATTCAAGGGTGGACGCACAACGGCCAAACTAACCCAATCGAAAGGAACATAACCTAAAAAAATTACATCATTACAATGTTCATTAGCCTCATTAAATACATCTACATAATATTAAATCTATATCCAGACACCATTCCACTTCGCAACCAATTCATACCTAAATTGTCAATGAATGTGATTGTCTTGACGCATACAAATCTGTGCTACGTTCATACTTTCTCTGACTAAGAATACAAATCCCACAATTGTAAACATGTCTGTGAAGTGGTTTAACTGCTAAGTAGGTGATCTGTGGAAATTTTCGATGTACTAGGTCAACAGTTCTTAAGAAGATATAGAGTGAACAATCTTTAAGAATTATAGTTAGTTACAGAGCCATTTCTTTATCTGCGGTAATTCCTTGCGCTTAAGTTTATGATTATATGCAATTAGGATTTTTTGCCGATTGAGTTTATAAACTTGTGTATTTGGTATAGACAGGAGTCATGGGTATTTGCAGTCACAAACCACTGTCATGCTATTCAAAGTTAAATAACAGTGATTGATTATTCTTCTTCTACGAACGTGCTAAAGTAGGCCATGATTGGGATCAGCTGTTCTACACCTCTACACCTGCAGTGATACAATCTACAATTTAAAAGATATGTATATAATTGTTGCCAATCGCAAAGTAAAATGTTAATAAAAGGGACACATTTCAAATATTTTTGTTGTGACTGCAGTTAGAAATTTCAAACAAGTACCATGATGCCACTCAATTACATTTTTCGTGTTTCTCCGTTTAGATTAATAAAATGTTTTTCAGTAAGTGCTGCTTATAGTAAGTCCCATTATGATTCCCTTGGTCTCTCACCTCATGCTACCCAAGCAGACATTAAATCTGCATACTACAAGATGTCCATGGAATTTCACCCAGACAAGAACAAGGGCAGTGATGAAGCTGCCCAGAAATTTAGAGCCATTTCAGATGCATATGAAGTATTGGGAAATCTGAAACTTAGAAAATTATATGACAAAGGGATTTTACATACAGCTGGTCCACAATTCACACAACATGCAGAGGAAACCACACAAGATGATCCTGAATTAAGATTCTATAGGTCTCGTGAACACAGAAGTAGAGCACCACCACCTACAGGGAAAACTTCCATCTACGACTTCGATGAATGGACTCGAATGCATTATGGTAAGGTGTTTGCCCGAAGAGAAGCAGCAAAGGCTAGACATGAAAGCGATGTGAGAAGACGTATCCTTGACAGACAGCTTTTTTATACTGAAATGTCAGTTCTTGGAACATTTGTTACTATTATTTTTCTTACATTTACATATATTAAAATTGTGAATTATGATGTGGTTAAGGATGAAAATGTGGAGAATAGGAACACACATCCACCCAAACCTTTATCAGCAGCAAAATAGGCAGTATAATTTATAATTTTAAAAATTATCTTTTTCTTGTAGATCAATAGATGACAGAAGATAGGCTTATGAAAAATCAAATGTAGTATGTGACAATTCTTCATGTTTGTACACTAAAATAATATTTGTAAAAGGGTTTGGAAATTAGAAGTATTGTGAGAAGTGATGAAGCATACTGGCAAAATAGAAAGAAAATGTTCTACTTGGCTACACTAATGAGCACTTAAACATTATTTGAAGTTTGGAAGGTATGTTATTATGATTCTACTAATTATACCAGTATCAAGGTGATACATTATTTCTACATGGAGTCAAAACAAAACTTGCAGGAGGAATAAAATTGTCATTGAACATAACGTTTAACTCCACTATATGAATGAGATACATCACAATGCTATTTAAGTTATTAAGTTGCTTTATAAGTAGATATGTGTGTGATGTTGGTGTACCTGCTTGAGAAACCCTGATGAAATGTCTGACAAATATATACATACAAAATAAAGTGGTTTAATTTTAATAAAATCTCCTACATCAAAGCAGAAGGCACAAATAACAGTAGTCAACACAATTTTGTTATAAGTTTAAATTAATAACAAATAAAATGATATATACAGATATCATTCAAATACACATCGACTTGAATGATATCTGTGTATATGATTTTTCTTTTTTGCTCTTTTAAAATGTATGTCAATTGGCTTGGTACAGTGTAGAGCAGGCCTGCCCAACCTTTTTTGTTGTGCAGGCAATTTCAGCAATATTTGGTCTATATGTGGGCAACATGAAATTCAATACATAAAATGCGGACTGTATATGTATAATGATATATATACTTTTATCTGCATATTTTTCTATACAATAAATATATTGATAATGTGAAAATTTTGTAAAAAACGCAATTCACTACCTACGCTAGGGTGTTTATTTGTAGTACATTTTTACAAAATGAATTAGTAATGTATGTCTCCATAAATAAAAAGCTAATAACCTTTTTAAAATATTATTGCATGGATTTTAACTTAGCTGCCTGCATATCTGCAAGTCGTTAACTAGAAAACATCCCAGTAACAATACACGCCAGCACTCATTGACAAAGATATTTAATCCCGGCAAAGAACCACCATTAACAATAAGGATTTATCATAGGGTCACTTGGGAATATGGAATTGGTGGTTCATTTTCTTTCATAGTTTGCCAGGAAATGTGTGGAATTGCTTCAGTGTTCTACGGCACTGTTACCAGGGATAGGGTTAAGAGACGTTTTCTTATTTCAAATGTCTCTGTGGGCAACAGGTTTCCCACGAGATACAGGTTGGGCGGGCATGGTGTAGAGCAGGGGTCGTCAACCTGGTCCCTACCGCCCACTAGTGGGCGATTCAAGCTTTCATGGTGGGCGGTGTGGGTTTTTGTCTGTTGTCACAAATTTGGTTCTTCCTTCATATATCGAATACATTGCTAACAACTTCGCGAGTTTGACTTTTTAAAGTATGCTTTTGCAATTTACTTTTGAATTCCATCTCTAAAATTTGGATATAGATAATAATTCACTGGACACTTCTCGAAGTATACTCGTGGACGAAGGAGCAACGAATGAGCTCTGTATCAAAGGCACGAGTTTAGTGCGCATAACGAGGGCGGGGGCTTACCACCGGCCATCACTCAGTCTTCGAGCTGTACCTCTTTCATGGTGGTGGGCAGTACGTGCGGCACCGGTGGGCGGTAAGGAAATTTTACCATCAACAAAGATACAAAAGTGGGCGGTAGGTATAAAAAGGTTGACGACCCCTGGTGTAGAGGATGGATAGACACTGATTACACCACTCATAGTTACAATATGACTACCAAAGCAATTTTTACATCAGCCATATCAATACAGTTCAAACAGTTTATGTACACACTAAATTAAAATGCCAAGAGAACTTAGTAACAATAAGAGAGTATGCATCTATACTTTACATATTATAAAACTTACAGGGCCTCACAATGTTCTTACAGAAAAATGTAAACTGTTTGCTGCTTTGTTACTCATATTGTTGAAAGACTGTACTTCTGCTGTATAAAATTAAACAGGAATGTTGTAAAATAATTGTTTACTTTAATATTACACTGTGAAGAAAATACACCAGATAAATTTGTTGGAACAGCAGAAATATTATATACTGCTCTTGCAAATTCTGTTAGAAATATGTATATATATTACAGTATACATGTATTTATATAAATGTACATAGAAGTTGTGTAAAAAGAATCATTATGTATGTAACCTAACAAACAACTCCTTTACTTATGCTTTGTAGCACAATCCAATCAGTAATAATAGGGCTTCAGAAAACATTGGGACCATAAGGGCCTGGTATTGGCATGTACATTCCAGTAGTAGGATATGGTACTGACCCTGTAACAGGTGGTAATGGTATATAACTAGAAGCAGCATGATGTGTGTGTCCTTGTGCTGGTGATGACACAGAATTCTGACGTGGAGCATTATGTTGTCTTGTTAGTATTTCTGCCATTTTATCTGCTTTTACACGTCGTAAGTGTGTCAATTTTCTTCTGGCAGTAAACTGTTCAAGAAAACTGTCAATTTCCAAATTTCCCTCTAGGAATTTTTCTGCAATGGCCTGAAACAATAGGATCAAAGAAAACTTAATTATTTAGCACATAAATCAGGATATAAGTATCTTATGCAATACCATTAGATTAAAAGGAATAGTATTTTTTTTAATTTCTAGTTACCAGCCTAAGAATTCTAAAGAAATTCATAAAACTTAACAGCATGATGACAACAGATACATTATTGGGTCTAAAAGCATTGCTGTTGAGTACCCATCACTACAATAATGTAAGTGATCCATATCAGAATTTAAAAATTGCATTAATTATTGTCAGCAGTGGGTATCTTGCTTTGCAGCTTAGCCTCTTTTCAGTATGATGAATTGCTAATGTAGGCCATAAAGGGGGAAGGAGGTCTGAATCATGCAGTAATTCGGATTATGGAAATAACTGATAAATACTGTCAGATGAAAGATAGTTTGTTTCCCAATCTTTATGATTGAATCAAAACACTTTTATGGCATAAACAAATAATTATTTCAGGATGACAGTGCCAGATATTGTAGTCAACTGAGTGAGCATGACCATGTTATACCAACAAATCTAGGACTAACATGGCCCAGATTACCATAATTCTACTGTATTTTACATGAGACGGTAGGCAAGAGCATAATATGGAAAATAAACAGTTTCTTCCTACAGTCTTCCTTCCCTGAGTGACAAGTGATGATCACATGAAATAAGGAATTAGATGCAGAAAGTAGTTCCAAACTAGATACAAATGGTTGTTGCAATAGTGAATGCTGTTACTACTGTCAGTACCAATAGTGACATTACTTTAGCAGCAACAAAAGAACGTCTGACACCCACATGTTGGACCACATACAAAGAAAAACCAAGTATGACTGACAAATTTATGTTATTTATTATAGAGCAGGGCCCCGCTTTTCTGCGATCCGCTAATACAGCGCTTTTCAATTGCGTGCATATGCCCCACGCGCTCAACAGCTGAGTCAGAGAAGTGCATCCGGCGCCATTTTCTCATTGCTGATTCAGTCTGTTTACAGCTACTACTGATATTCATTTTACCTTCATATTGTTTTCTTAGGCCTAGTGCTATTGTGCACTTACTATATGATAGTGTAAACATCTTATTAGGTTTTGATATGCATTTGCAATTGAAAAAAGGCAAAGATCCGCTTTCCGGCGATTTTCGCTTTTCGGCAGGGGTTTGGTCCCTAACCTGCCGTATATGCGGTGCCCTACTGTATCTCTAATTTTCATCTCATTCAGAAAAACTTCAATAAATGTTTCATATTTTACCTACACTGATTAGTACCTAGTGTCACTCCTACATCAGAAAATTTCAGTGAATTACTTTGGTGTTCAAGGAAGGGCTTTATAAAATCTGATGAGATTAATACATTCATATGACTTTCATAGCAGCTTTCATTAGTGTAGCTGATTTCTTCAAATACTTTTGGAGATGATCATGTCGTCTCTTAATTCTTCCTAACCAAATAGGCAGGAAACCAAAAATGTCTTACTTGAAAACTTACTTCTGATTCTTCTTCTGATTCTGCTGCTGCAGTCTGTAACAATGCAAGCGTTGTTTCTGCTGTCGTGTCACTAGACTGTTGTTCTGTGAGAATAAAATCATATTTCAATATATTGCACTATACAACAAAACTCTAAATAAAACATTCCCAATACACATAATAATTCAGAAAGCTAATGTGGAATGTATGTGCTGTAAATTGTTAATTTATTACTGTAACGTGGGATGGTATTGCAACCTTGATTGTCAACCCGATTTATTCACGTTAAATTAAATCAGTTACAGAAGTCTATACTGACAGGCAACTCTCTACAACAACAACAACACACTTCAAGTCTCTGTTCTCTGTACACACACACATACTCTCGCACTGTCCTTCGAGTCTATCTGGTCCCCCGAGCTCGGCGCTCTTCACATTCGCAAACACATCGGCCCGTAGCACTCCACTGGACACATGCTGGCTCCTCGGCCGCCACGGTCCACGAATCCAGTGCTCTCACATGTAGCCAACCTGTCCTTACTCAGCACCACACCAGACCTCTCGTTGGCTCCACTCACTTCTCTTACAAGTGATTCACAGCTCTCTTCGCACTCTCCGCTTATCGCTTGCAACTCACTTCTCCTACATGCGACTCACACCTCGGCTCTTTCCACACTCTCGAAAGCCGATTGTCAACGGCAGTAAACAAACACAACAATGTCAATAAACAGATAACTAAACTGTCTCTTAGCTACACAACAATGCCAATGGTCTCGAAAGCCGATTGTTGGCGGCAGTAATGAAACACAACAATGCCCATAGGAGTTCATATAGCATCTAAAGATGCAGACCAGGCAGCCTGGAGGTCAAGCGGCCCCTACCCTCCAGCGCGAGTCTGCTGCACTCACGGCAACACGTTACATTATATTAATAACATTTCCAAAGAAAGGTGTTAGGAGAATAATAATAAGTAGGAATTCAAACCCATAACCTTGTCATTATAAGAACAAGTGCTACTACATCATGACTGCTGGTTATGCTTGCTTCCTTGTAACAGCATATCAAATACAAAGTTATGCAGTATCAAATGGAATATGATAATGGTCTTTCAAGATATAAATCAGGACCTGAACTGTTCTGGGAGTAACAATTACAGGTAGCAGCTATATTCACTAGATAGTCATAACAAAGTGACTTATGGTACCATTTTCCTACAAATAGAAGCTTGTTATGTCCTTCTAGCAACAAACACTGCTGATTAAATATAAGTTATGAGATTTGAGTTTGCCCATGATACACAGAACATGTATACGGACTGTGTAAGGCAAGTCCTTATCTCATTCTAATGTTATAATAAACTTACTATGGAGTGACACTTTGTTTTCTATTCTCTGGCACAATGTTGCTCCAGTTTCACTTAATACTTGAAGACACTGTTTTCCTTTAGCCAGCTGTGGTTCCTTTGACAGATTGAACTCAGCAAGTGATCTGTTTCTTGCCATCAACATCTCCTTTTCAGCTTCAAAATCCTTAATCTGTAAACAATGAAACAAAATTTATAATTTGTCATACAATTACATTACTGTTTTCTAAATAAAAGAGAAACTAACAAGGGACACAAACAAATATCACGTGGTTACATAAATAACTATGTGCCTGCATTTTGGATGTAAAATATTAAAAAAAGCTGTAACAAGTAGATGCTTGGGGAAAGAGGAAGTATAGCTCTAACTCGCTCTTAACCTCCGCACTAGATAGATGTGAGTGATCAGTATCATGCCCCAGCCCGCCCTTTACCCCCAGTATCCACTGTCTAGGAGGTTGGGTGGGCCCCAGAGCCAGTCTGAACGCAGAGGCTAGAGGAAAAATCCTCTGCCCCTGCGGGGATCGAACCACGGTCGTCCAGTCCGCAGTTAGAAAACATTTTAACATTCTCTGCATTAGCAGATATCATAACCTACTGCACACAAAACGTTCAGTAAACCATGTTATTCATCAACACTTCTTTCAAGCCTATATAAAATACCGTCAGGATCAAAAACTTACTTGCTTCACATCTTTCATCATATCATCAAATTTACTGTCATTATTTAACAGTTCCGTCAATTCTTCAAGATTCAAGTGTGACAATAATCCCAGGGCAGCTGGATAATCAGGTTCCTTTTGGTAATTACTGTACATTCTTTATTTATAACGTACTTCTCTGTTGTAAAAATGCACGAACTGTTATCCACTTACAAAACAATGTGAAACCAAAATTTCATGTACATCAAGCCAGTTAACAGTTATGTTGGTAGTGCTGAGATGTTTTCTATGTCATAGATTAACAAACGTATAATAAAACATTAAGACCGAAGGTTGTTTGAACACAAATAAATTTCAGATAAAATTCTTGTTTGTGATCTTTCTAACCTTGCAATATCACCTCCTGAAAACACTTAAACACCTCTTACCATTACTTCGTTGATGCCTACTTTGCTGATATCTGTGAAATATGATCAAATATTTAATCTGGGGACATTTGTAATATATGATGAAGATTGCTGTCTTCTGGGTTGTTTTTCAGTGTGGTCTGGTAGATGTTTACCAACGTTTCAGAAGTTCATGCTGCCTCTATCATCAGGGCGATGAATAAATTATGTTATACCCATGGTCACACATTACTAAGTATAAACCGTGGTCTCCGGTGTTCCGTGGTGAAAGAAGATGTGCTCATGCTTATTTTAAGTCACAAGTAAATAAATTAAATGAACGCGCTCTGTCACATTTATTAAAATCTGTGTTAGGATTTGTTAATTAAGGTGTATGGTATTCATTTGTGTTTTTATTTCCATTAATATATATTTAACGTTTAGTTGAGAGTGTACTAATATCTAAGAATGGCGAGACCAGAATATCAGGCTCCACCAGAAGTGGTTAGTACGATGTAAATAGTATTTCTCTTGCGAGGTTAAGTCTGACATTCACATGTATTGTATTGAATAGATTCTAGTATTTACAAGATTTATGCTGTTAGTTATTAATTGTACCTTTATACTGTCTTTGCAGTTTTATAGTGAATGTGAAGCAAGGAAATACTCTCAAAAGTAAGTATAATTTTATAATGTACTTATTCTACTCTTGTGTTGTACACCCACTTTTACTAGAGTTTGAGATTTTTTAATATATTTATTCTTTCCCTGTGTTACTAGTTCTCGTATGATAGATATTCAGGTTCAGATGTCTGAGCGGGCTGTTGAGTTACTCGCTTTGTCAGATGAGCCTCATTTCCTTTTGGATCTTGGCTGTGGCTCTGGGCTTAGTGGAAGTGTATTGGAAGATCAAGGGCACACATGGGTGGGAATTGATATTTCTTCTGCAATGTTGGGTGAGTTGCACTTACGTTATTGTCAAATAATGTTTCCTGTGAGGTATGAATTTTAAGTTTGTACAGAAATTAGATTAAGCTGGTTATCTTCTGGGATACTGTACCATATAGTGTGGTAGATATTGACTATCATTTTAGAATTGCTTACTGCCTCTTATCATCAGTCAATAAATACCAGACTACATGGTGCCACATTTGAGAAGACAGCCATCTTCACACAAGTTATGTTATCTGTGATGAACATGGGCAAAATTCACTGAAATTGCTTTTAAACATAATACATTGACATTATATTAAATTTGTGCTTAGGATACCTTGGCCAATTATGTAGGCTTCTGATTGGAAACATGCAGCTATATAAATTAATGATTTTATTGATACAGGATGAGGTATTCTATTACAGATGTTGCTCTAGAGCGGGATGTAGAGGGTGACCTGTTGCTGGGAGACCTTGGACAGGGTCTACCTTTTCGAGCTGGTGCTTTTGATGGCGCTGTGAGCATCAGTGCCCTCCAGTGGTTATGTAATGCAGACAAATCTAGTCATCATCCTGCCAAGCGCTTGTACACATTTTTCAGTTCACTCTATGCTTGCATGGTAATTTCTTTCTTTCTTTATTTTTTTTTCTCTGGCTCCAATTCTGATTATGATGTAGTAAATCTTATAGAGTACTGCAAATCTAGTATCTTTTTACTACATACAGCCATAGATTCTGTACACCTTTAAACCAAGGTTCTGAAATTGAGAATTTTTCATGAATATAGAAGCATTATATTCAAATTCGCAAAGTAACACACTTAATTTTTTAAGGCTTCTGCTGTTATTTTATTGTGTCAAATTAAGGCAGAAGCTTTGAAAATTATTGAGATATATTTGATTTTTGTTATCTGTGTTATTACTTGTCATTTACCTTTGTCTTCCATCTTCACTCTGTTTGCAAGTTATTAATTCTAAAGCTGTAGTACAATAGTATCACTTCTTGCAAATGCAGTAATGAACCACCTGGTTTCACGGTAGGCAAGGAATGTCTTGGTTAGCTGAGCAGCTGTTTGCTTCTAAAGACTTCTGCTCATTAGAGTTAGTAGAACAGTGTTAGATCCTGTTTGTTATTTGATGTTTCTATTTTACTTAGAATAACAATGATTGTTTATTAGTAATGGAACATAAAACAAAGTCAATACACTTCCATTGCAGAATCGTACAGCAAGAGCTGTGTTCCAGTTCTATCCGGAGAATAGTGACCAAATGGAACTTGTGACTTCACAGGCCATGAGAGCTGGATTCTTTGGAGGTGTTGTTGTTGACTATCCCAACAGTACGAAAGCAAAAAAATTTTTTTTGGTCCTTATGTCTGGTGGAGCTGCACCACTTCCAAAACCAATGGGAGAAAGTGAAGAGAAGGAAGGAATTTCATACACTAGCAAAAGGTGTAATCTCTTTAAATATTTTCTTTTTTCTTCCTAAGACGTTTTCTCTTTAAGTGGATCTTCTGAGAACCAAGCCTGTCCATCTCTCTCTGTCTTCCCACAACTCCTTCTCAGTATTTTCCCATGGCTTTCTTTTCCTCTGTGTGATATAATTCTTTACCTGTTGTTCCCATTTTGATCCTGGCCTGCCTCTTGGACATTTTACTTGACCTGAAACCTCCTTTGGAATTCTGTTTTCATTCATCCTTAAAATCTGTTATTTGTTACTTTGTCTGGAGTTTGATTCCTGATAGGGCACCACAACATTCAGACTGTCTGTGGGGCCCAAGCCTCCTATCCAATGGATACTAAAGTTCTTTCCTTAGGCATAAGGCACCTACAGCATGAAGCTGACCACTCACCTCGTAATGCCTCCACTGCTTCTATGTCTGTTTGGCATGGTGCTTAGTTAAGCACCAAGGACTTTACCTTACCATGTACTGACCTTGTCTTAATTTTAAAATAAAAATTTTGTATAATACATATGAATTACTTACAGCATAAGAACTATTTTTATACCCCATTTGTACTATGTGTAGAAGTAATGTGCTACTGGCAAATGTTGGATACCATTATTGATGAGCAGAATAAATGCAGACATCTATTGAATGTGTGTAAAGTATATTTTAAGGCATAAAATGTATTTCAGTAATATGCAACCTCTATATACTTCCAGAGAACAACTCAAAAAGATGAGGGGTAAGCCACTGAAGAAGAGCAGAGAATGGATTCTTGAGAAGAAGGAACGTCGTCGTCGGCAAGGCAAACCAACCAGACATGATACAAAGTATTCTGGTCGCAAGAGAAGTGGGCGATTCTGATTCTCAGTGTCAAATCATTTTTGTTATGTTTTTGTAATGTATTATTAAAACATATTTTATATTGCCTATTTATTTAGAATGTTTATTCGATAGTAATATCGATTATTCATAGGATAGTATGTAATATATATTTCGATTTTTCGATAATTTCGTACTATTGAGCTGATTATTAGTAGCAGTTAGCGACATCTTTTATGATTTACATGTACTTTGTGTAAGTAATAATTGCTGCTGCGTAAAGATGTCGCCTATGTGTCTGTTTTGTATTTAATTATTTTTGTCGTGTTGGCTTTCCTGTCGTAGCAGTAATATGGCGGGTAATGAGCTTTACAGATTTTGAAAGTATGAAGTGTAACTGACGAATTATGTATATAGAGGATTTAAAGAAAGACTTTTATAACGTGTTAATTGGAAAGGTAACTTATTTTATGATTTTTTTACACTTTAAATTATAAGTTTAACTAAACTTAAGTTGTATTTTCGAATTCTGTTAAGGTATATTAAATGTAAATATACAACCTTGATATCAAGCTGCTCATTTCTTAGAATTGAATTTGGTCATCTTATCTTATAAAGACTAATATTAAAGAAGTAACTATTTTCTGAATGTCCTTATAACTAACTAATTAGTTGGATTAGGGACCCGAAGGATCATCACCGAATTAACCAAAGTCCTCCACTGGTCCCTACCCTGGACCACAAAATCCAGTCGCCGAATGGCCCAACACAGATTGCATTCGTTATGTCTCTCTGTATGACTTGCATCTGCTTCTTCAACTGCTTTTTTCCAGAGGATACTTCTACTAGTGAATTATGACATTGATGCAATATGCACATGCAAAATTCTTCAGTACCTATTTCGATGTGACAGTATTATCTACACATTGGTTCCTGTGCAAGGGATAACCGATCTTCAGAATGCCTATGAAGAAAACTGTGAAGAGGTAAAGTACTTGCTGTCTTGATTTTGTACACAAAAAAGTTAACCATTTTATTTTCACAAAATTTACTGAAAGTCAATACAGATTTGCTAATCTTTATTAACAACTTCTATTAGAAAATAATGTGAAACAGTAGCATTGAAATTTACATTGTTATTGTGTTGTTATTTATACAGATAAAGTATGTTGTGCTTGTGAACTGTGGTGGCACCATAGACATTGTTGATTCACTTCAGCCTGAAGAGGATGTCGTGTTCTTTGTTATTGACAGTCACAAACCAACTGATGTATGCAATATTTATAATAATGGACAGGTGAGGTGAATGCTATGACTCTTTTCATTTGGGCTAAGTTTAATGGTTTTTAATTATGTAATTTGGTGTTTGAGACTCATTTTGCACTTTGTTCATTGCCCTAGCACAAGTTATTTTTAATTTTTTTCCAGATAAGATTGCTGTCTAAGGCAGAAGATGATGAAGGTATTCCAGAATTTGAAGAAATTTTCCAGGATGAGGTGATGTATATATCATGCATTTGGACTCTTGTTTGCAATGGTGAATTACCTGGTATGAGTTTTTTGAGGACTAGAAAGGTGAAAAGAGAGACATCCCCTTAGCAGAATGTATAAAATTTGCAGTAAATGATTTTACTTATTGACATTATTATATTTTTTTTATTAACACAAACACGTTAGTTGATCACTAATATTTCCTAGTTATATTGCCTGAATCTTGACAGTTTTATGAGGATAGTTTTTACATTTATTATAACTGAATGTTTCATACAGGAGTCTTGTGGGTCTTGTAGTCTATTGAATGATTTATTATATGAAAAATGTCTTCGTTCAACATTTTTTCCTTCAGTCAGAAGAGGATGATCAAAATTGTTCAGATGATGGCTCAGGTGATGAGGACGGAGCAGAAGAGTCACGACAGGCAAAACGACGACGTCTGGGTGAAGAAGCAGTGCTTAGGAGACGGGAACGACGTCTGTGGGAGGAGAAGAGAGACCGACTTATGTTTAACTACACTCAGTTCAGTTATTATGGTCATTCGGTGAGTTAGAATCATGGTAGAATTTAAGGTCTCATATCCTAGCAAACGTGGTGGAAGAACTTTACAACGTTGCAGTGGCCATGTACTTGAAACTCTTTAGCATGCATCCAGTGCTGAGTTTCAGTCAGAAATTGTAATTTATTTATGCTTTCCAAAATGTAAATTAAATTAAACTAAGTTAACCTGTTACTGAACTCAGACAAATCAGAGAAATATTGACGAAGGGAAGTAAGTTACCCTTGCGCTTAAACACTGAGATGTGAAAGCATGTACAGAGTGCAAAGGTAACATTTCATGCATTCCTAATATTGCCACCGGACAAAAGTGAGTGTTCAGTGTGGTGGAAACAACTCACACAATTGATTTCACAGACTAGCAGCATGAGTAGGCCTCTGAGCCAGTCTTGACATCGTGGCAGAGCTAAAAATCCCTGCCCTTCCTACAAACCCAGTTGTATGACCTCTGCTGTGAAAAACGCAAATCCTACAAGATATTTTTTTGCCACCATGTCTGTACTACCTCTGGGGGTCAAAACAACAGGAGTGTGGAGCTAATCACAAACTTTCTTCTAGTGCCATAATTTATAGTACTCCATGATGTGGTGTTAAGGCTATTGTATCCCTTACCTTTTCAACGCCATATGTCTGTGATAAATTATTGTATTGCTTCCCTTGTTCACATAGAGGATATTGAATAGTATTAAATCAGTGCATGCAGTCATGTTAGCCTTTGTTCTCAGCTGCAGTACATTGCTTTGTGCTCCTCTTTCTGGGGTAGCATGTGTGGTAAGATGTTTACATGGGAAGCAAGGAATCCAAGTTGACTCTTTTCCGAGACAACAGCTGTTCACATCAACTGTCTGCTGTTTTTGCCATCATGGTTTCATTTTTTTTCCAGAGTGCTGTGATAATATTTGAACTTGCATGGAAGCTGTCAAAGGACAACATGGACCTGTTGTGGTAAGCGTGATAATTAAAATACAATACTCTGGTTTTTGTCCATTATAAATATTAAATTTTAGAGTTTAATCTGTCAGGAGATATTAATAATAAATACATTAAATATGTGAAACTCGATTTTCAGGATAGTTTATGAAATAAGAAAATTTCAAAGTTTAGAAATAGATGAAGCTAAGATTTTCAAATGCATAACTTTTTCCCTAAACTGCAGCATATTTTTAATTATGTTGTAGTAAAGGGTTCCAAAACTTATTGAGAAACTTCAGATGATATGTGATTGTTGATTTTAAAATGTATATACACATGTGTTTCAGGTGGGCAATTGTGGCTGTTACAGAGCAAATATTGTTGGGTAAAGTGGAAAATTATCAGTATGTTCTGGAGACAGGGAATTTGCAGGGTCACGTCGCTCGTCTTGGTTACCAAGGTGAGGTGTTGTATGACGAGAACTCCACCCATCATAAGACTGCACTGAAGATTACGTATGACAAGGAGTATCCTTTAAAATACAGTGCATTATATATGTTGGGATATGCACTATTGTGTTTAAAAAGGAAACTGTCCACATAAAAGTACTACCAGAATATAGTAAAATTATTTTCCTGTGTTATAGTTTTTTATCATTACTGGAATGTTTCAGTGTTAGATGTTAGAACACACATTGATATTTGAATATTTTATGTAGCCCCTTAACATAATGACAGCCTGAATTTAGCACTTTATCGTCATTGGACAGTGGAAGCAAGCCTTCGGCACTCGATGTACTCGGCTGTGAAGTTAAAACTCTGGACTCTTCGTGGAGAGAATAAACTTCATGAGTTGCTTGCTGAGATGGGGTGAGATAAATTTATATTTCTGAACATTATGTTTGGGCACAGGTCAGTATAGTGAGTAGGTTGTAGGCTGGATGATTGTCGTTTGACTCCTGGTAGGGGCGAGAGATTTATTCTCTCAGCTACTCTATCCAGATAAGCTGTGTTGCCTATCCAGCCGAGTCGGTACTGGGTTCTTTTCCCTTTGGGTAAAGTGAGTGGTGTGTGAAACTGATCACTTCTGTATCTGTATCCACCCTTCGTCCTGCTGTCCGTTGGATACCAGGGATGTTTGATTGATCACTCACCTCCATCTACTGCTGAGAGCCCATAGTTGTTTATGGCATGGAGTTTAATAAGTGCCAGAGAAAACTTTTCCTTTCACCTTTATAGAACTATGTTAAATATGCAAAGAGTTTTAATGTTGTAAATTCTTATATTGAGATAGGCCCTGTACTTAACCTTATTCTTATTGGATGAAATTTGAAATCTGAGTGTCAGTTGAGGTATCTTGAAAATCTGAGTCAGGTACATGATATTTTGATATGTCTCAGCATTACATATGTCAGCTGTTTGCATTATTCTTTGCTTCTTGTATATGAGTATGTGGTCTGTGGTTGGTTACTTTATATTGAATTATAGATGTTGATATTTTTGTATCTGGTTGGTACAAAAAATAATATAATTTAAAGACAGAGTCTGTTGTTGGTGTAAAATGAGATTAGGTAATAAAGAGGAACACAAGCAGAAAAAGGAACTACAGTGACAGCAGAGAACACTACGTAACTTACTCTGTGGTAACGTAACAACCCAGAGTTTCTCAACTGCTGATACCAAGTAATACCATTGGACATGGTCCTGAATCGGTCCCATCTGCCTCTGATTCTCTTTTGTGTGATATTATTCTTCAATATTTACATTTTAAGCATTTTCAAATTATTTGTTAGATACAGTAATATGCAGAGAAATTATGTGAGGATGTACTTCAAATATTACTGCAAAACATATTTTATCCTTTGTAGATTGCCTCTTGTTCAGAGCAGGCAGAAGTTCAACGCAATGGACCTAGTGCTTCGTCAAGAGTTTCACTCGATGATAGCCAAGCTTGCAGATAAGTACCAGTTGCATGACATCGTTATTGCGTCGTTCACTTTGCAGTATGGCTTCCGTAGTCGCTATTGTGCTGCTGATGTGGTGTATGCTATGCTTGCCACTCTGGAATTCACAGTAAGTTGCATTTGTGTTCTGTTGTTGTTGTTGTTGTTGTTGTTGTTGTCCCCCCACCCCCTTCTCACCTTAGTAGCACGTTTCTTACACTGATCCCAATGCAAAGTATGAATGTAAGTGCAAGATTAAACTGCATTTTTGAGTTGTTAATTTGAATTTTGTAATAAAGAAATTATTCATCACATGTTTGTATTTGGGAGGTTGATGTGGAATAAGATTACTTTTAAATTTTCATTAATTTAGTTTCAGTTTATCAACATTTGATAGTATACAGTAGAAATTACTTGTTTAGTGTGCAAAGGAAAACTGCAAAATAAGGCAAATGTTGATGATTGTGTATTATGCAAGTTAAATGAAGATGGGAGAATTAGAACTTCTGACAGGTAGAACACATACAAAAATTAAAAATAATGAAGTGTTCTCATTTCCTCTCCGCCTGGATACATTTAATTTGTACAGGATACGACAGTTGTAATATAATAATCGATTTTGTGTTTTCTTTTTCTTCTCACCCATCACTTTAAAAAACAGTGAAACCTCTATAAACCGTGCCTTATTATACTACCGACTCTGATATACTGCGGCTGTGATCATGTCCCCCAACACGATTACATGTCTTTTACGTCATACAAATTTCTAGGTTACATTTGAAAGGTTTTGTTACATTTTAAGACCGTATTGCAACATTCCTTGCTGTAGAGTGTGGGTACAGAGGGTAAAGTCTGTAGTCCGAAAATATCGCAGACATCAGTTCCAACAAACTACATTATGTGACTATTTTTGTAAGGAGGCATAAATATTAAGTAATTTAGAGTGGTCTGTGTCGGTAGCATTGGTGAAACATAAGTTTGAAATGTGCCTTACATTTTGTATATTTTAGTCACTGGATAAATATACTTAATATTGGATTCCAAAATTAGATAAATGTCAATTTCACATTTAATGCGGGTACTGAACCTGTCCCCCGAAACCCACGTCATATCGAGGTTCCACTGTATATTCGAGTGTTTGGTGTATTAGATTACCACTTATGAAGTTTGTTTCTGTCAGGGAAGGGGTAAATCACCAGGCGATTGCTTCGTAGATGCTTTGGACTGTTTGTCCAGGTATGTATCAACAGATCAATCTGTGATGTTCTGTTGTTTGCAAAATACATGTTATTACATTTCGCTTGTTTAAATCACGTTATAATCGGCTGGTTTTGTGGCTGGAATACAAAAACAAAGTTTGTTTTATGTTTTAATTTCTTTTTTTAGTATCTCATTTTATTTCACTCGAGCTGTGCTCTATGTTTTGTTTGTTTAGACAGAAGAAAGATTTGTTGGAAGATGGAATTGAGAAAGCAAAACGAATGCTGATGTGTATCTTCAAGCAAGTACAAGCTGCACTAGACATGCATCAAGTTATTTCAGCTGGTCCATTTGTTTACTTGGTATTACAAGAGGTATGATTCGCCACTATCGTGCTTTGCTGGTGGACTGTAATTAGTTCCTGTTGCTTGTTTCTGGATTGCTGACAGTATGTTATTGTTAAGTTTCTATAAGGTATGAAGTGTGATGCTTGTAGTTTTTGCATGTGGTATTCCATCTCGGTACCCAAACATTGTGGCCTTAAATATAATTTTGGACTTCAATCCCAAATCAGTGCTGAAACAGCATAAGAATTTCGATGAAATTCCTGTTACATCAATATTGAAAGTGACAGCCTTAATGATCTTCAACTCTGGTGTAAGTTTTGTTCATGTGGTTGAACACGAAGCAATTTACTGGTGTTTAATTTTTTATAGGGCACATTAGATGCAAAGATGTTCTCTCGCCCTCATTGCATCACCCTTCTGGCTCACTTCGCTCTAAAAGCACATGTGGCGAGCTCACGGAATCGCAAAGCGTCTAGCCTGCCCCTGATTGCATCAGCACCGCATGATTTGGACAAGGGCACCTGTCTAATCGTTGGAATTCCTCCTACTTGTGAGGACTCACCAAAGAAGTAAGTTCAAGCTGTTTGTAGTACCATGGAAAATTATCTTTCCATCCATAGCAACTTCTTAAAAATTCTTTGAATCGCCAAACATTCTTTTGTCTCACTTAAGACATGAATGACTGTTTTGTCTTGGAATATTGTTCTCCCCTCCCCATCCATTTGTATGTAGTATCTGATTTTGTTGTAGTTTCTTCGGCAGAGCCTTTGAACGTGCAGCAGAGAAAACCAGCGCCAGAATGCTACCAGACTACTTCGATAGTTCCAGTGAGTACTGATTCGTGTTTCACCTTTCCTGCTTTGAAACGTTATCATTCCCTTGCCTATAGAGGGCATCTGGGTTGTGTTTTAAACTCATTTTAATGCTTTTCTTTACAGTTGTTGAACTTAAGACTGAAGACAGGACAAGATTTTTTGATGCCTTGACGACTCTGCTGAGTTAGGATGAATAATAATTTAGTGATTCCTGCTACATATCACGGTTTTTGTTTTCCATTACAACTTGTGTTATTTTAACAGCACACTTTTAATTCCACTAAAGATAGCGTGGAATGCGCAGAGACAGTACTTTCTGCCAGTTTTTGAATGGCGGTGAAACTGAACCAATGGAAAGAACTCAACCTTAACTATGGATAATGACATGAGCATGCGTTTCTGTTCATGTTTAGAGATGTTTCTGGAAACTTTGCTTTCCATGTAGTACTGAAAAGATGTGGTATGGAAAAAAATAAATACTATATGGCAGAAGGGGTAATAGGATTCATAATTATTATCAGAGCTATTTTGTTCTTTTAAAATATGGAATGAAGCCATACTGTATGTTTGTGTGTCAAAGTTATGTAAGAATATACGAGGTATTGCTTTTACTTTATTGATATGTTAAAACATTAGAAATTGAACAGCATAAACATTGCATAATCACTGCGCTACATGCAAAGTCTCTACATGTTCTACAGAGCAACAAAGCCATTTTTGTTGGTAATGTCGAAGGTTCTGTGTCTCGACGCTTTATTCAGAGGTTGAGTCCACTTTGTCAGTAGGGGCTAGGGACCGAGGGATAAATGACAATAAAAAGTTGAATGGAGAAAAATTAAGATTTGTGTTGTATGAAAGACAGTTGACTGTGCGCCGATGCTCCTGCATTAACATCGACTGCACGTACAAATCTGAACTGTGCTGTAGAAAGTAGCCCTGTTTTTGATTGGATGTTTTTAACTATTTTAATTGACTTTCTCAATTCAAATGTATCATCATCATAATTACTTGGACTGTTTATATTATTAGTAATGTCATTAGTGTATTTATCGACCATGTCTATGTGAAAGCGTGTTCATTGATACACCAAATCATAATAGAATTTTAAAGCGTGCTTTTCAGTCATGTAATTTTTTGTTTTATGTGTACCATTTCAAATAAAACTGACAAATAGAAACAGTTTGGGAGTGAGTAATAACACATTGCAGATGAAGAACGTCCCGAGATGGGCATTTTGATCGACCCGTATTGACACGGCTCAGGAGCAATGTAATGGATCAAGCAATATGGGACCGCTCTGATTTTGTATTCATAGAATCGCTGGACATCTTTATGAATTAAAATTAAATATATTTGCCTCTTTAACGATGAATACTGCAGATTATTGCAGAAATATGATAAAAATAGTTTTTAAATAAAAATCAGGCATTGGAGTGATCTTTTAAAAGTTAAATAGATTAAAAATATTCATTCTTTGGCTCACGTGTCTGAAAACATTTCGAAATGTAAGCCAAAGCTCAGTGTCAACTCTTTAAGCCTGTTAAGAAATTGAAACTGTTGTAATTAAAAACAAGATATTGACATGAATAATAAACTTCGCAGCAAGTGGGACTTTTTAATTTCTTCTGTGTGGAAAATTAATTACAACTACAAATTTGATGCCAATTGTTAGTTTCTGTAATGTTTTATGATCTCATACTGATTTGAAACCTGTGGCTGAGAACCTCTGCCTTTGTTCATCATCATCTTTGGGTTGTGTGCTTTTGTGTATATTCATTGAATGTGCCTAGATTCCCTTTTGACGCGTTTAGATCATGCTCATGGCCCCTGCTGCCATGTGAATGTTGTTTGCGGTTATGTCCGATGATGGGAGGTTTCCATCTAGGAACCTTGTCACAAAGGTGGTAACACTGTGCTCTGTGATCTCAGCGCCGTCTTCCATGACACTCAGCTGCCCTCCTGGGATGTCGATGGCCGTCAGTAACGGCACCGCGTCGTCCAGACCCACAAATTCTCGTAGCAGGTCACTCGTCTCACACTGCAAACAGCCATAAAGAATATGATTCACATTTTTTGTAGCTTGTTTCTCATAATTGAATTATGAGTTTTAAATTACAAATTATTAATGCAGTACATGCTATAGCTGCCATTGGATTTTAAAGAATTAGTTTATCCATATGCTTGCTCCTCATTTTACATTTTTGCCACACACCACCTCCAACGGACTTGGTTTCATAGAATCGCAAACCAGGCTCTACCACCTACACACCACTCAAAAAAAGAAACCTCTGCAGATTGCAGTCACACGTGCCACTGGCTGGCTGGAGGACATCCGCTCAACATTCATAATCATCATTCCATTTCAGTCAATGCCACACAACCTCGTTCTGTACTTACATCACAGCCCACGAAGAAATGCAGCAGTCGGTCCTCATCCCGGCGATTGCTGTCTGTCACCATGGCAAATTGCTCTGCGGCAGGCAGCAAAACAGATTCTGCAAATTCCATCTCCCCTTCTTCTCCCTCTAGTAAATGCAAAATTACACATCCATTTATTTTACTCAAACCAAAGTCCATGTCTAAACATTTCAAAAGTTTTATTCCGTGAAGTTGGGAGTAATCGAGCAGTGTGAAAGTTACTAAAATTAAAGCCAACGGAATATTTTTTTTCAGTTCAATTCAATTTCGCGCACTTTTCACCGGGATTGCTTTTTTTTCTGTGTACGCGGTGTGATGCCGTCATGATGATCGTGAAAATCCACGTCTTGGCTGGGGTTTCAGAATTCAGCACTGTTGGATTTTGGACAGAAACACGAAACCGGCTTGGGATTCGGTGTAAGGATACTAGTACTGAAGATGCCACTGAGTAGCTCGGTCCTCGTGGCCCTATCTTTTCGATCTGATGGCGATAACAAACGGAGCCAGAAATTTTAAATCTGTTATGGAGATATATAATAACCATTCTTACAAATTCTGCACGTCATAATGTGCATACATCACAAATGAAAACATCATGTTCTCCTGAGTAAGAAATTGATGACGACAGTAATAATGATATTAGGAACAAGTGTCATTTATAATTGAGAGCAACATGTTAGCATGTGAATTAAATTGTTTTTCATTTCTTTGCCTTACCTAGATGTGATATTAACAGCACGTAATTTGTAAGCTGTTAATTTAATTAAGATGATTGAATAAAATTAACATTTTGTTATATGAACGTGTTTCTGTAAATTAATAGATTAAGACAAAAAAGAGACATTAGTGTACACAAAATGTGGTTGGAATGGCTGTCTTGGTAATCATACCACATTCTTACCAACAAACAGGATGATTGCTGGGTAGTCGTGCAGTTTACCAGCATACCTCTCTGTCAATATGTTAACGAGCTTTGGTCGCCATGGAAAGTTCTGTAAAAAAACGACAGTCTTATATTCGGTTTGGGTCTATATTAATTTCAATGACATATAAGAACAATGCCAGTTACATACATCCTATGGAACAAACCGATTGCTTCGGAATTTCACATTACTTTGTATTATTGTGGTCTACATTTATTTCTGTTATTAGCTTCTCAAGCACGGGACTATTGACCATGGACATGGTGGTGAGGGTAAAATATTTGCCCCTACCGAAATCGAACTCGGTTGTCTTACTTAACGTAACGGTAACTACTGCCAAGAGTAGTTGAAGTGCCCAAACTGGAAACTTCAAAATGGATCTTCAATAAATAGGGCGTGAAGATAAGAATAAGGATTAGTGAAATGACAGAATTTTTTTTAACTGGGAGATGCTGACAACGTTCGATGCAAGAGGGTGCAAAATGGAATTGATTTTACAAATTAGAAAAAAAAAACATAGTATGAATTAGACGTGTTTTCCGCGAGAAATTTCGCATTTAACACATCGGCTGTGTAGTATCTACGAGCGCAATCATCCCCTGGACAAACAACATGGCAACTCTGAAATCGACATTGAGACACCTGCCAGTCAGCGATTAACACTTCTGACAAACCGATTGCTCTGCATGTGACTCACCTCCCCTAGTGGATCCTCATTCACTTCGCCCCGTCCGTCCGCTGTAATGACGCTGCCGTCGGCGTCAAGTAGAACTAGCGTCGGGATGCCCTGGACGCCGAGTAGAGCCGCCAGTTCGCGACGCCTGTCTTCCTGTTCCCAAGGCACAGCTAACCACGGCATTGTGCTCAGGTACAGTGTGAATGACTCCTCGCTCCTACGTGAACAGAAACTCAACAAAGTTTAAAGTCGTTCACCTTGTCAGTAAATGACTTATTTCTGTGGAAACGAAAGATAGGTGCATTAGCTACCATGTTCTCAAAAGCCATGAATTGGACTCGATCCCGAGTCAGTTGAATGCAATCAGTGATCAATTTTAATATTATCTTTCCGTCTACACTTCACGTAAGACACCAAGAATCGCAGTCCAGTGGTTAGCACACTTGGTGCGTGTTAAGGTGGTTCTGGTTTCAAATATCACCTCGAAGACCGGCTATCAGATATTAAGCTTTCCGTTTCTTGGTTGTCCTTGTGCGGACCTCCAGGTAAATACGCTATGCCTCCTCTTTTTACAATTCTCCAGTGCTGTAACCTGTATAGATAATAAAGCATCGTTAAATAACCCAAGAACTAGTTGATACTCCTTTGATAATTTCCTCGTTTGCACCCATTCTATTACCACGAGCTTTGATTTGATTAAGGCATGAACAGTAGGAATTAAAGTCCTACGAAATTTCAAGTTAGAATTAAAAAATAAATACAGTTACAGGTCTGGATATTTTAATTATTACATTCTTTGTGTAGGAGACAGGAAGAAAAAATATGAGCTGAGTGGTAGCAGGCATTTTTAAATTGTAATTTAATCAAAAATATACAGTTTTTGAAATCGTTTCATTTTTAAATTGTAATCTTTACATTCGTGTTTCCTAAACTAGTGTTTTCCCTTACAGAATATTGTGTTTCAAGTAGTTATGTTTGCTGTGCACAGAAATGTAGGCTAAGACGGGTTATTAGGTCTTCGCTAGGGGACAAAGTGCTACAGAAAATATTTCGGCATAAAAGAGAGGAAGTAGAGGAGGTCGGAGGATCTTCGTACGTAATTAGCGCACTTTGGCAAATGCTACTATAGCAAACAAATCAGGGAGGATATGGTAGGGGTTATGTAGCAGGTATGATAAAATGCAGACAAAATATCAATCGAAAATCTGAAAGGAATAGACCGCTTGGGAGACAGGCATACATGGGACGATAATTTTAATATGTCTCACAAATAGTGTGTGAGGCAATGGACTGGATTAATCTGGCTTAGAATCGAGTCTAGTGGCCGGTTATTGCAAATGCGGTATTAAGCTTTCTGGTTCCATAAAAGGGGGAAAATTTCTTATCTAGCTGAGCTATTATTACAGCTCACGAGGGGCTCAACTGCATGGCGTTAGAGATCTTCGGAACTTACAGAAAGCCTTTTCCATTACTGAAAATATTGTAGTAAGTAAATAAAAATCCCTGGGATGATAGGCTTCCTCTCCTGAGATGTCAGTGAACTGAGTGTCGTGCTATGTTTGCCTGGAAACGGGTACCTGGAGAACCTGAAAAATTCTGGAGGTTCTCTCTTGTGTTTGACATGTTACATAAATGTGTAAAATCGCGTGCCGTAAAACTTTGAAAGATTCGTTCGATATTCGCCAGCAGTAACTTGTTTTAATGTTAACTGCATGGAAGATTTGTCTGTAATAAAAGAAATATACACAAGAACGTCGAGTCTAACTCAAGTCTCGCGGGATTTCCTGACAGTCTGTTGCTTTATCGCGTTCAATTTAATATTCGTAATTCTGTATCATAATTTATTCTGACGTGGAGAAATAAATGCCTGTTCACAATCGAGTTAAACGCGTTAGAGGAAGTTCCTCAGTTCTTTAGAGTTAATTTGGGTACAAAGGTAAAGAAATATGCGAATAAGTATGGTATATTATGCGAGCAAATCAACTACAAGCAGCGGTAGTAGCTGGTATGCAGTGATCAGAATCAACAACATGAAAATCAATTAATACACGCGTTGTCTCTAAATGTAAGAATGTAGCTATTTATTGCTGACAATTTTTCGGGGTCTCCGAACGACGAAAATGAAGGAAATAGTTTATTTTGTTTGTCACAATTATAAGCTGTCAGCTACTTTCAATATAATAAGCTCCTGTGATTATAATGTTAGTTACTTCAGTACACCAGGTCTTGTTTTATGAACGTTTAGTTCATAAAAGTCGAACCTCGGAACTTTAGCTATGAGATTCTATCAGTGACTTTGCACGATGTCATCGAATGATGCTGCTTTATGTACATTTTTTTTTAAATTTAAATGATCTGGTTTTCCTTTGTATTTACGGTGTAATTGTTATAATAAGTTTTGTTAATTACAAAGTAATTAGTATTTATTATAATGATTATATGTTACACACACATATCCACTTCATTCTTATTTATGTCACAATATCTCCTTCAAATTGAAGTTCAGAGTTTTTCTGCTTACAGAATTTTTACAGCTTTAAAGAAAATTTCTTTACGTAAAACGAGGAATTTGTGTCTACCATTAATTACACTGCCGAAGACAGTGATTGACGGAATAATAAACTTTTCCACCCCGCACATGTTCTGATAAATCCGACGTCAAGCAGGCATAAATCACACCTGGTTTATGAATTGTGTTTGGATCCTTGACCAGCCACAAATACTTCCACATTTCCACGCGCCATTACACTGATCATCTCTAGTACACGCCACATATTTCTCGTCGGCGCTGACACCTCTAGTATAACACCACGCGTTCCAGTATCTGCCACATTCCTTCCTACAGAAACCTTTACGACACTCAAATTTACCACCGTAAGCGTCAAAAATAGTCAGCAGTAGAATCATCACCAAGGTAACGTCGAATAATTTCATTTCTGTCTAGTTGTCGTTATTTCGCCTTTGCGCAGAGCAGATGCTTGCTGACTGCGTCCGTACTAATTTCTTACGACAACATTTATCCGGCCATTTGTAGTATCAGCTTAATGACTCTTAATAGCTCTATAGTGTAAAATCTCCCTTGAATAATTGATAGTTATTAAGCTGTTGGACATTAACTAATGCGTTCATTTTTTCTTCAGACAACAGTAGATAAAATGAGGACATTAATAGTTTTGTATCCTATTATTTTATAGGATAAGCCATTACTATCTAAATTACACCACTGTCAGAATAATGACATACCATGTCAGGACGTCAGGATACTAGGAGCTAGTTCGTCACTGTTTTCCTGTGCAGGTTGTGTCGAAACAGGTTAATGACCTAATGCTTTTCAAATTACATATGATGTGTTCCCAAATGACCTTTACAATTAGATTAAATCCCGTTGCATCTCATTCCCTTACCTTCACTATACACTGTTTCCCGTTGAATTTTAACGAGTGTTTTTCCAGCAGTTATTGTCATATCTTAGTATCACTACGTGCTGGACTATTTCTTCTTTTGCCCGATTACACTTACAAAGCAAAACTGTAGTAGCTATTACTTCTTTTCATATTAATTTCTAACCCTTCCCGTGGGCATATGTCACATTTGTTAGTTAACAAAGCAAAGCTTACTACAAGCTGGAGGACCTGAGTTCAGATGCCGACATGGACAGAATCTTCCTCTCGCCATCACCACTTCCAGACCTATTCTGATGACCACCCAGCCTCCTATCCACTGGGTTACTGGGGGTTCTTTCCTCGAGGGTACCACTCCCCGTACATCTTCATGGCGAGTTTTTAAAAGAGACAACTTTAGATTTACCACATTAAGTATTTTAATTGGGTCGGACAGTGCGTTTTTGTTTGAATTTTGCTGATTTATTTCTTCAGCACGGCAGTATTCACAGCAGGGGCTATTTCTAAGCACTTAGGAGTGTTAAGTTGTCGGTTTGGCGGACTAGTCAACAAAATGCAGTGGTTGGCCTCTCGAGCAATCCCCTACAACCGGTGTCTAGTCTTTCGTAATTAGGGATTCGAAACATACAAAAATACAGGTTTATAATCGTTCTGTTCAACGTATGTTATGTCTTGTTTTCACATGTCTGCACTCGAACAGGGCAAAGGTTTATATGTAGACACATGTTTATGGTAATGTTTAATTTTGTGAGGCGAAATTTTGTGGTGTGCCGTCATGTGTTTTTTTTTGTTAAATGAACGACAGCAAATTGACATAAATTAAATGGCTTGAAAACGTTGACAGATACATGAAATGGGCGGTATATTTTAATAGAGACTTACTACAAGCTGGAGGACCTGAGTTCAGATGCCGACATGGACAGAATCTTCCTCTCGCCATCACCACTTCCAGACCTATTCTGATGACCACATCTTCATGGCGAGTTTTTAAAAGAGACAACTTTAGATTTACCACATTTATGTAACGTGATAGCGTTGTACGATCTTATTAAATTACGCAAACTGACGGATGCTCGACGTCCGTCTTCATTTCAATCCTTCCCATCATTCTTTTCCTCTCTACTTCCTCCGTGTTAGAAATAAATCCCAGTGAAACTAATTTATACTCCAGAAGCCAATTTTCTCGCTTACTGGTCTTATATCATTACACTGCGACTTAAATTTTACTTCCAGTCTCCCTCTTTTTATGTTGAACATTAAGGACGGGTGAGATGAATGATAAGCCCTGAAGCGTACGGATAAATTTTAAGGGATAGCAGAGAGAGAGATGGCATAATAGCATAGAAGAAGCAGAGAATAGGGGGAATAGGAGGATGATAAATTGAAGGTTGGTAAAACAACTTTTACTGTTAAACTTGGAGCAACAGAGGCTTTTGTTCCCATGGCAACGTTCCGCTCTCACATCCCACACACCCGAGCATTACTTTACTGTTACTTGGCTCATGCACAACAGTGGCGTATGTGCCAGCGATATCCAGTTCTCCCTTTGTTTTCCACTATCTTTCCCTTCATACAACGAGGAACCGCGATCTGTTATCCTTACAAGTTAAAGGCACGTGAAATTGTTTTTTGTTCATTAAAAGATCCGGTTAGAAAGTTTTAGTGTTGACGATTACATAAATGGTGATGGCGCGAAACTTTGAGATGCGCCTGAGCTCAAGACCTGACGTGTCCGGAATTTGCACATGTGTAAGTGGTTCACTAAACTGTAAAATTATAATTATTAATTACCTTACATCTCACCATACAGACTGGAACCTTTGGAGGGATGTACACGTCATAAATTTTCCCGAACCTTTTTCGTGTGGTTTTTATTTGCTTCCTCCGGTAAGCCAGCCACTACCCAAAACGAATCCTGACCACCATTTTACCCACACAGCTCATGGGGTGGAGTATTCGTATACCTACTTGTCGGCAACCCTGTGACTGGGTGTCATTCGGTTATGGAGGTGGATCGTCGGGTTGGCGTCTCGGCCAGATTTACCCACAGGGAAATAGAAAGACACGCCGGGAGTGTTTCAAGGATCCCAAGGATGCTGACTGCAATCGAACACTAGACTTACAGTCTGTACCACTGACATAACTATTGCTGCAGACGCATTCTCAGATTAAATTCAGTGCAAAAGTATTTTAGAGAGCGGTAGAACAAGATGAAGCTGTGGTGGTAACAGTATGGCAGATTTAAGAGGAAACAGCCTCAGCTGTGAGGTTGGGAGGTTGCTCAGGTGGACTATGATATTAGTGGTGATGGAGACTTCAAGTTATGTGATCACATAGTTTGAATAGCATTCCTAAATTTTTGAAACTGTGCGGAAGCAACTACAAGCAATTGGCTGCGTGACTCCATGATAAGGGACTCGCTTCATAGGACACAACAGTTTCTGTTGCCCTGTCTCATTTTATCAGTTTCTCGTTCCCTTGAATGCGCATAAGTAGACTGTCACTGGTAATAAAACGGGGGAGCTACCCCTCGTAACCGTTTACCCTACGCAGGGGACGAAACACTGGTGACTGAGCAGGTGTTCGAAGCCGCAACAGCTGGCACAAAGGCAGTGAGTGTGTGATGACAAGAATCTGCGCCTATTCATATAATCTGTTTTAGCCTAATTGAGCGGATCACGATATCTGCTGTGTATCCCCGATAACGAAAGAATCTACTTTCATTCCAAGACCAGCCAAGTCCAGGGTCTGGGATGAAGCCCCTGACATGGGATTCACGGTGTGATAATGTCAGGGTTATCGCACATCTCGCGCTGCGATGGTCGATGAGAATGGTGAAACAGTGATTAGCATAAGAAAACTTGCTTCATTAACACTTCGTTCTTGGCCACCGGTAGTGAACCCGGGTCTCCGTGATGAGAAGACAACTTATAGCCGCCTGCACATACTGATCGATTTTCATGAAATTTGTTATGAAGGTTATGCCAATGGTGGTTACGCCGGTCTGCCTTCAACACGAACTTCGAAATGGGAGCTATAGTAACGTGAAGTCTATGCAGGGTCCAGAGAATGTATGTCGTTATCAGTATGTAAGATAGTACAAGCCGGTATTCCCTTAGTCTCAACGTTGCATCCCGAAACGAAAGCTAAACATGAGCGCGGTTGCCACCATATCTGTCGGGTGAAACCAGGGCACGGTAGGTTTGAATTCTGGAGGTGCCGTGTTCGAATTTGGACTGAGTACTGCCTAACCTTAACATGATTCTCTTTCCTACGCCCAAATTCGGAGTAAGTTGGAAGCAGACGGTGCAGTTCATTTCACAACCTTTTCTTAC